CAATTTTTTCAATTTTTTTGTTATATTTTGAATTGTCATTAGTCCTTAATCAGTATGCCAAATTTTGAGTTATTCTGACGTTTTGAAGGGGGTCAAAATCATGTTCAAAGATTCCGTTATATATTAACATACATACGTCTGAAGCTAATAAAAGCGTATTAATAAAATTTCGATACTTGTTAAAATGGGGTAGGTGTCAATAATGTTACTATGATAACTTGTGTAAACTCTGTGAATAATGATAACTATACTGAGGCCTTAGAACTTATATCTCAAAGTGGGTGGCGCATTTACGTTGTAGATGTCTATGGGCTCCAGTAACCACTTAACATCAGGTGGGCTGTGAGCTCGTCCAGTCATCTAAGCAAAAAAAAACCTAATACCAACATAACATAACGTCAAACTATGTCACAGTATTAAGGATTTACGTGATGGATATCATTACAATATCTCACACGCAACCGCCACATCCAAGAATGAACTTACAAACACACTGATAAGTCCGATAAGGGTCCTTACGCAGCTATAAAATGTATTCAATAAACATCTTATCTACTAAATAACACTCGCCGGTCGCTTTCGTGACAGACCACATTTTCGTTCGTCGACTCGTATAACTAACTACCCGCGTTCATTTGGCTCTGTGGTTAGCGGATCTAGCGCTAAGTGAAATCTGTCTCAGCTTCAATGTGGACATGGCAGCACACTATGTATCGCTTTAAGTATGTTCGGACTAGTGATTGTGCTAACGTTGGTCGTATCGGTGTTTGTATTGTTGTGAAATTATGTCAACACGTCAAGAGACGCCCGGCTCCAGTTCGACGGTCGAGCGGCGCCCCCTTATGCTCGCGTTGCGCGTTCCAAGAAGCTATGGAAGCATTTTTCCGTACTACAAATTCGTGAGGGATACTGCAAACGATGCTGTGTTAATCGAGGTACAGAATTAGGACACTATTTATTACAAAATTTTTAGAACTATCAATTGTCTCTTAGCTTAACTCCTATGACAAGGTACCCTTTTTTTCGGGCCGAACCTACGAGTACCCCGCGCCTAGGGGGCCGCTGGGTACCTGGGACTTGACGATCGTCAGATGTTGGGAGCAGACCGCGGGCCTAAGGTCATTTTAGAGCCCTACTGCACTAAACGTCTCCCCTGCACTCTTACACCCAACGTCCGATCTTCGCCTGGAGTTAGAACCCGATCAGAGTTAGGGGGTTCTCGCAGTCAACAATACAACCAGACTCGCGGCGTACCCCGAGGACGCCCGACCGACGGGTCGTCGAGGCGATAGTCGACGACCAGCGACGCCAGTCTCCGAGGTACGGCGGCCCTACTAGGCCGCTCGGGCGATGCCGCTGGTGTTCCGGGACACCCCGCTGGGTCAGAACCAGACTATCGAGTTAGAACGCGATACACTGNAGGGGGTTCTCGCAGTCAACAATACAACCAGACTCGCGGCGTACCCCGAGGACGCCCGACCGACGGGTCGTCGAGGCGATAGTCGACGACCAGCGACGCCAGTCTCCGAGGTACGGCGGCCCTACTAGGCCGCTCGGGCGATGCCGCTGGTGTTCCGGGACACCCCGCTGGGTCAGAACCAGACTATCGAGTTAGAACGCGATACACTGCCGATCGGGAACGACAAGGTAGCCTGGATTAAGTTGGAGATCGTACAAAAAAGGAAAAGGAGTAATTATTTCATTGGCATGCTATAAATTATTGATTTCAGCTATTTAAGATAAGACCACCCCTCACGCCCCCTATTACGCCCATGCTTCGTCCAGATTAAGCAAACGATGTTTGTTTTTACATTTAACACTAAACATACCATAACGGGTCAAATTACCCATTTTGAACTTTTGCATTGAAAATGCACGTAGCATCTAATTGCTTTGGCACATTTGATTTCATGGCTTTTTCTTACCAATTAATCTACAGTTAAATTATACTATTATTTTTGCTTTATTTTGTTTTTATTTTTTATTGCTTAGATGGGTGGACGAGCTCACAGCCCACCTGGTGTTAAGTGGTTACTGGAGCCCATGAACATCTAAAACGTAAATGCGCCACCCACCATGAGATATACGTTCTAAGGTCTCAAGTATAGTTACAACGGCTGCCCCACCCTTCAAACCGAAACGCATTACATTGCGTTACGGCAGAAATAGGCAGGGCGGTGGAACCTATCCGCGGCGGTCCTACCACCAGCAATTACGCAAATTATAATTTTTGCGTGTTTGATTTTTATTACACGATGTTATTCCTTCACCGTGGAAGTCAATCGTGAACAATTGTTGAGTACGTATTTCATTAGAAAAATTGGTACGCGTCTGAGATTCGAACACCGGTGCATCGCTCAACAAGAATGCACCGGACGTCTTATCCATTAGGCCACGACGACTTCTATTTTATTATTTCTATTATTTTAAGTAATACTTGTCGTATACCGTTATCTACCTGCTATGGTAGAAATAGCTACCAGTAAGTGTTGGTATGATTAGTGTTAAATATCGACTGAGATATTTATATCTCCATAGTACCATGTACACACTTTGAAATTATACTTAATATAATATATTAAAAAAGTTATTTAAATGTATAATAATCTAAACTCTGGTATTGTGAATCATTAAATTCATTTGAATATAATAAATTGTACGTCTATTATCATTCATCATACGGAACAAAAAAATCCAATTTTCCGTTCCTTATTCAAATAATTACATAAAGTTTTTTGCGCATGTGCCGCGAAATAATAATCTACAATTCAGAGTTTATCCAATTAGCTCTTAATAAAATAACACTTGCACTTATATTATATAATACGTATTTTCTTTGATTTTCAGTTCACTGGAATATGTTCCTGAGCTATCAGTTCCGTAGACATTTTTTATATTTATAAATAACACCCAATGTTAGACCTATACGAGTATATTTACAATACAAAACATTTTTTGGAGTTTATAGAAGCTCTTTTAGAGAAGCGATCAATTTTTACTGGTGGTAGGTCGTCTTGTGAACCGGCTCGGTTAGTCACCACCACCCTGCCTGATTCCGTGCTGCCGTGTAGCAGTAATGCATCTCGGTCTGTAGGGCGGACAGCCGTTGTACTGTTAAAGAGAGCTTAGTAATCTTATCTCAAGGTGTAGATATCTATGAGCTTCAGTAACCACTTAACACCAGGTGGACTGTGAGCTCGTCCACCTACCCAAATAGTAAACAAAATAAATTGAATTTTATAATTGTCTTTTTCTAAGAAAATTCAAAAATGCATAATTGTACTTTGGTCTACGGCGCCACATCTTTTGTACCAAAATATGACTTCTCATTATCAGATATAATGTATGTAAAATCCAGATGTTTTATTCCAATATTATGTAATTAAACTGATACAAAAAAAACATTCTATGTTTGTGCAGCGCAAGCGAAACTCGTTTCACGGTGTAGTCGTAAATCGTCACGCTCATCGACAATAAAAAAAATATTGGTTTATATAGTACGGTATTTCTTGGAAATGCTTCGAGCGCCAATACCTACATATAAGAACCTACATAGCTATAAGAACACGCGGACAGGTAACTGTATTTTAAACAACATAAAAACAAGGACAAACAGAACAATTTTATTTCTTTATATATATATATATTATGTGTACGTCATAAAAAAAACGTTCGTTTTATTAGCTTTTGAAAAATATTGATTGTAGATAATAACGTTCGACGTCACTACGTACGCTAGGCTTCATTATGGTCATGATTGGTGAATGAACAATAGTGATGTTCGTAAAAAAAATCGAATAGGTACGTGATACTGGTGTGATTTTTACTGGTGGTAGGACCTCTTGAGTTCGCACGGGTAGGTACCACCGCCCTGCCTATTTCGGCCGTGAAGCTGTAATGCGTTTCGGTTTGAAGGGTGGGGCAGCCATTGTAATTATACTGAGACCTTAGAACTTATATCTCAAGATGGGTGGCGCATTTACGTTGTAGATGTCTATGGGCTCCAGTAACCACTTAATACCAGGTGGGCTGTGAGATCGTTCACCCATCTAAGCAATAAAAAAATATATAAAAAAATGAAAGCATGTTTCAAAAAATTCATACTGTCAATCCTGTATTCCGTTAATACTTTTATTATGTTCGTAATGCGAATCTTCACCTCAATATACCTACTTAATCTTCTTATTGCAAGAACATTAACCGGTTTCATTATTTAACTTTAACTGCAGACGTGGATAACACACAGGGAGAGGTCCAACGGACTAAATAAACAAAATAAACTTGCAAGTTTATTTTTAAATAAAGTAAATCTAATGTTTATTATACAATTGAAACCGTTCGAAGAGAGAATACGTGCATATAGTATATTATGTTTTAATCTTCAATTGTAGATAGATTTGTGTTCCCCGCTAACCGCAACGTGCAGCCGAGTGTGGAGAATAAGTCTTGAGTAACAAAACAACGCATAAATACTTACTTAATTATTATACTTGAGAAGTTTATTAATTATGTTAATATTATAATTACCTATTAAGTCAGTTGCGAATTTTAATAAAATGCATTTTACCTAAATAACACAATGGAGCTCACCAACATACGTTTTATATTAAAATTTGCGACGTCCAAATATGTTATTCGCTAACTAATAATATTCAAATACAAAAATGAGAAGGCTTCATGTTGAGGATGTAAAACGTGCATGATGGGAACCTAGCGGCGGGGAGGGTTTCAAGTCAGCGTTGACCTCTCTGACGCCGATACGCCGACATAGTCTGATCGGACACCGCGCGATATGCTGCCACCGGAGCGAACCGTTCACCGTACTGCCACCGCTATCCTCAAACGAATCTCGTTGCGGACCTACAGCACATACTCCCTTGTACGTAACAATTCATTCATTCACACTTGCGACCGCCCTCCGCCCGCCTATAGTGACGCCGCGACGCGCCGCGCTCTAAATAGTAACCGCCCAACGCGATACAATTCTTGCTACTCGTTTCTCACATTCACTAATCTGTAACAAGAGCGGTGCGTAGCGTTCGTAGTATTATGCGGGAAATTGAGACAATATGTCTCTACCCCCGCATATACCCGATCCAAATGGAAGTGACAACGAATACGTGCATATACGATGCCTCATTGCAAACATACACAAACAAAAAAATGTATCGAGACCTCCATCTACGGCGTCAGATAAGGGTTCAGTATTAGAAGTTGTCAAAGAATCACCGACATCTTCGGACTCGGAGAATTGTTCAGGATCGGATATCTCCAAGCCAGACGTAACTGAAGAACTAACGCCGCCACCACGTGCTAAAAGTAACAGCTTCGCAGGTTCTATGCTGTCACTTCCGATGCAGCATAACAAAAGACGTCGGCCTTCGTTCCTTCATCTGCAAATCGGCGGTAATTCAGAAAGTCCGGGACCTGTCTCAGCCGGACCCCACCTCAGCGTTCCCCGGTTCACCGTGACTGCCCCGCCCGGAGAGCACCACCGTCGTTTCAGTCATGGCTTCGCAGCATTCCATGGATTCGCATTGCGACGTCACTCCAACACGGTCTGCGCAATGAAAGATACAAGTGTGAACATGATGTGTTTCTTGTGATATGTTTTACGATGAAAGTTTTGTGTTTATTGCATTATCATTAACCTGCAGCTTTGCATGATGCAAAAACTGCTCAATGCACGTATGACAAAAAAAAACTTAGTTTTCCCCAATGAGAGCATTTCCAGCAATACCTAGAGCATGCCTATAAAAACGTAAGTCTAACAAGTGATTTTCGGTTATCTAAAATTTAGTGTCCTTTCAATGTTTTTATGTAATAAATGTTATGTTAGTTATATTAATTACATAATAATGAAAAGCATACCATACAGAAAGCTAATAATAGCGCAGATTATCTAAATCGTATATCATTTAATTAATTTAATAAATTAAATTGTTGACAGACTAATTGTTTTTGCGTTTGGGCACGTTAATCTGTGTATGAGATAAGCTAGGGCTCTAGTGTTCCATTTAGATCTATTGAAAAACATATTAAAAGTATTTTTTTAAAGCGCGCATTAATTTGCAAACTCACGCTTGTGGTTGCGTATTTTATAAAATCATTATATTGTTCAAAATTTGCCACGTAAAATCGGTTTTCTCCAAACATTATAATGCGTACTTTATTGGGCTACCTTGCGATACCCGTTATCATTATATCTATAAAACATAAATTATGTTCAGTGCTAGTTGCGAACCGAGTCGTGTGAACGTTTGCATGTGCCGTTGACAATAATTCTACATTATTGTTTATCATCACTAAGGCAGAACGATAGTTTTATTAAAAAATAATATTAATGGTTGCCAAACCTACCATGTTACGTTGGAGTCTGCAACCGATCGAGGTGAAAACATTAATAATTAATTTTGTTCGCAAACGAGAATCTAAAATTCAATTTTATCATCTGGAGCCTCATTAATTAATACTAAATTTTTAGAAACTAAAACTCTATAAGTTCGCTTGATCTTTCCTCAACGTGTGTTCGTGTTACCTTGTTCAAAGCAGTTTTAAAAATGTTTGATTGCTCGAACTGGTTTTTGTTTGTCACGTGGAAAGAAATAAAAAAATCGCGTATTTCTCACAAATATGTATTTCCTAATACATTTTAATTGAACCGCCGGCTGTGCATGTGTGTGATTTGTAACTGAGATAACCATTATAAATTGTCATTTAAAAATGAGAGCCTTTGCGGAATTCTATTGGTGTTCTAATGTATTTAAAAAAATTCTTTTTTACAAGAAACGTCGTAATTTTTTGGTGATTAAAACAATATTTTTCGTATTAATTTTGCCAATAAAATCAGGCGAGCGTCGTCGTAAAATGTGTAACAGTGACTACAGCATCTCAATTTTGTTTGTATAGAGCCTCCACCGCAGCGAGTCGATGGTGTCTCTCGCGTGCTTCAGGACCCTTTCCCAGTTGGTGAATAGTGAGAACGTTAGTGAACTTCAGCAGTATCTTGCGAACAACAAAAATGTCAACATCGACGACAAAGATGAGGTGAGTGTTAAATTAATAGAAACACAATGTTCAATGTACGTAATATTATAAGTACACTAGCCGTACTCGCCCGCTTCGCTGCGCGTTTAAAATTAACATTATTATTTATTGTTAGGGAGCCCAACACTCATATAAATATTAGCCTATCCATTAAGTGCATGTATTTTATACATGGATATAGTTTCAAGTCAGTCAGATGCATGGTGCAGTAGTTATAACGAAACATCCGTAAAAACCACTGTAGATTTATATATTAGTATAGATATGAGCGTAAGAAGCGTATGGAAATAATTGTTTTATGGACTAGAACAACTTAGATACAGAATAATCGTGTGAATTCATTATCGCCTAAAGGATAAGGCGCCCGTTGTTTATATCTACTCGGAGCGAGCGATTCGATTGTGCCTGGTTCCAAATATCGCAGACAGGGACCATTTTTAACTTGCTTAATACGTGCTTAAGAACGTTTTCCCCAATAATACATGAACAATATCTAATTAAATTCATAAAATCTCTAAATTTGCGTAATTTCCGATGGTAGAGAGTAATGTGATCCCGCGATGGTAGGCACTACCACCCTGCCTATTTATGCCGCGAAACTGTTATGCGTGCCGGTTCGAAGCCTGGGATAGGCGTTACAATAGAATCGAAAATTCGATTCTATATCTCGAGGTGACTGACGGGATATAATTTCTGACGCCTATGAGATCTGGTATCCATCAAATGGGGCGCGACTCCTTCCAACCGTCTGGTAAAAGATAAGAACCAGACTAGTTGGTTATTTAAGTTGTTAAGGAAAGAAAACAAAGCAATACAGATACCTAATCTAATCACAATTTTATTAAGTAGAAAAAGCAGTCTCAAGAAAAGTTATTCAGAAGTTTGTTATCTGTTTTTTATAATTGCCTCTGAAACAAAACAAAAAGTTAATATCATACACGTACATACCTAGTCAGGTCATAAATTCTGTCACATGTTTAATGTAAAATAATTGAAACAAGTTTATTCATTATGTAACCATTCATATACCAAAATGAACTTAACAAAACATAGATTCTTATGACACTAAAGTTTATTCAAAATGACCTCCGTGATTTTGAATACAGGCCTTCAATCTGCGCGGCCAGTCGTCTATCGCAGCACGAACGNTAACAAAACATAGATTCTTATGACACTAAAGTTTATTCAAAATGACCTCCGTGATTTTGAATACAGGCCTTCAATCTGCGCGGCCAGTCGTCTATCGCAGCACGAACGAGGTCCATGTCAATATCGGCGGCTGCCTTAATCAAGGATGTCTTGAGTGACTCCAAATTGAGATGAGGCTTTGAGCACGCCTTTTCCTCCACGTGTTGCCATATCTTGTAATCTAACGGATTCAAATCTGGACTGGAGGAGGGCCAGTCTTCGTGCCGGATGAAGTCGAATTCACGCGCCGCCAGCCAGTCTTGTGTGCTCTTCGCTCTATGAGCTGGCGCCGAATCTTGTTGGAATACCCAGTGCCTGTTATTGAACATGGTATGGGAAACAGGTTCCACAAGGTTCGTCAGGACTGTATTTTGATACACAACTGCATTCGCTTTTACACCTTTCTCACAAAAATGTACCTCTGTTAAGCCCCAATAAGAAACTCCCAACCATACCCTGAGCGAGGATGGAAAATGACCTCGTTGGACACGCGAAATACGGTTGCTCGCTTCTTCACTACTGTGTGCGTACACCTTATCATTTTGTTTGTTGTAGCTCTCTTCTACGGTAAAAATTTTTTCATCCTAAAAAAGAATTTCCCGATATTTTTTTCCCGCGTACCGCTTCAACAAAGCGCGGCATCTCTTCAGTCTCAGGTCCATTAGACGAGCATTCAGACGATGTCCTGTTTTTCTTCGATATGCCCGAAGCCCTAAGTCTTCATTTAACACCCTTTTCACCATGGTTCTGCTTAACCCCATCTGAAGGGCCAACAGTTTCTGCTTACGTTTGGGATTTCTTTGAATTCTTACCTTCACAGCTTTTATCACTGCTGGAGTCCTAACAGACCGAGGGCGACTACTTCTTGACCTGTCATCTACACTAGAGTCTTCATTGTATCGTTTGATGGTACGATAAACGAATTACGAAACGAATGGTTATATTCAAAATTTTCAGTACATAGGTACTGAAAAAGGTAAATTTTTAGCATAGGCTAAAAATTTGAATTGGCGCGTAATCGCAACGATGCAACGCAATAACTGCAACACGGTCTTCTTTAAGCGTCCACTCCATATTTAAAAATGAGTAAAATTCTAAAAGTATACATTTTTATTTTCATGCACAATTCGAAATTCGAATTCAATAAACTTTTTTGTGGCCAGCATTCTAAAAGAAAAGTTTTTACTTTGTGACAATACTTATGACCTGACTAGGTATATAGCTAGATTGAAATCGATATCAGATTTTCGATCAATAAAGAAGGGTAGTTGTTTTAATTGAATCATGACACATATCGTATTATATCGCCTAATTAATCGATAAATAAATTCGGATTAAGGTTGTTTGTTTTCATTGTATAATGTTATGATAACGTATAAAAAAAACCTTGCGACGCCAAATTTTTTGCCAATGACAACAACATGTTGATTTACTATCACGAAAACAATTCGTTAATATCCGGCCAATAAATACTACGCATAGTGTTGGCTTGAATGAATATAAGAATTTTCAATATGTTTTTTGTAAATATCTCGTTTTTAAATATTTTTTTATCAGCTATTCGTTGTTTATAGTTTCAGATTATTTTTTCTTGTTGGTTAAACAATTTTAAGAATTTATAAGTGACGACACAATGACATTCCACACGTTCATTTTATTTCATTCCACAATAACCATTGCCTCTAATAATACTGACAATTTAATGTCGTATAGTAATTTATAAAATGTATCTCGGAATACAGTCTTATAGTAGGGCGCTTTAATGTATCGTAACTTATACAAATAAAAAAAATCTTCTGACACAGAAGTAAAATATTGTTGCGAGTTTAGTTGAGATATAAAACAGAATCTAAAGAAATTTGTAACCAATGTCGAGAAGTTAAAAAAATAAAATCGGTACCGCTAAATTATAATTTGAGTAATGACTAGTAAGACCTCTTCTGAGTCCACACGAGTAGGTACCACCACCCCGCCTATTTCTGCCGTGAAGCAGTAATGCGTTTCTATTTGAAGGGTGGGGCAGTCGTTGTAAATATCTGGGTTACAGTAACCACTTAACACCAGGTGGGCTGTGAGCTCGTCCACCTACCTAAGCAATAAATAAATAAATAAATAAACCTTCGATCCAGCACATCCCACTCAAAACAGCCCACTGAGTTTCTCGCCGGATCTTCTCAGTGACTCGCATTTCCGATCCGGTGGTAGATTCTTCGAAGCACTGCTTTTGCTAGGACCAGTGTTAGCGATACTCCGGTTTGAGCCCTGTGAGCTCACCTACACGTCAAGCAGAAGCTGAAATAGCCTCTCGAGGCCATCAGCATAGGTAGAATAAAAAAAATCTCAAAATGTACTAGTTTGCATTCTGGCCATTGGGTCGGTCGGAATAATCCAGCTTAGTATAAATTAAGTAATAATATCGTCGAATTGCTTATTTTCCGAACACTTTGTAAAGATAATGAATAATGAAGCCATGTTTCGAAAATTTATCGTCTTTCGTCGTTTCAAACCTCGATCTACAGTCCAGAGGGTGGTGGCGTATTATGAATAAAGGTTTTTGCTAGGTTCTTTTTCATGCTACCAGGATCTTTTGTAAATAATAGTTTCGCGGTCGTTCCCACTTCCCTAGACCAAAAGAGATTAATATATGATTTACAGACGGTACAAGATGTCGCGCAATTTTCAAACTTGATGTCCATTCGTCAATGCCGACCCTATCCAAATAATTTAAAGCTAGATTCATCACTACAATGAACGGGATTCCGCTTTACTTTCGGGTTAAACCCTATAGAAGAACATTGCCAATGTCTGGCGTCTTTTCAGCCTCTGTTCACTGCTGATACCGAATGCTATTTACTGTGGGACGCACCTAATTCAGCACAAACTATCGGTGGTATTATTCTTCTATTTAGCCAACCTGTTATAGTTATATACCTGTTTACCTATAATTAATTTAATTATAATAATTCGGGGCAACCTTGCGATAAACCACTGCAAAATTGCAAACCATTTTCTGTCAGTCGTATTGAGAGTATACTGCTCACTTAATATTTGATTTCCATTTTTCGATATGACATAATAATGATGTGATTAATTAATTTTTAACACGAGCAGTACAAATGTTATATCATCTCTGTTATTTTAAACTGAATTATATCTTGGTATGGTTGTAAAAACAGAAACAGAATTCTCTAATTTTTACAGAAAATTGCTGTTCTTCTTCTTCTCAGTCGTGTCACTCTTGACAGAGTGGTCGTGATCGTCATGTAGTGTTGGAAGGGGCAGACTTGATGCGTCTCACGATGTCGCGCCATCTCTCCCTGCTCGAGGCCATTCTACTGCACTCATTTAGGGGACCTCCCACTGCAGTTTTAATTTGGTCGGTCCATCGCATTGGTGGCCTCCCGCGCGGTCTTGTACCATCAACGCTGTTACCTTGTTTTTAATTATTAAAAAAATGTACTATACAACAAAAATATTTAAGTAAACTTCTTATAAGCTTAAACCCGATAAGTGCACATATACCAATTTTTTTGCGCATGCAGTGTATGTTTTTGGTGTCAAAAGGGTTTGTCATCAGTTATCCGAGATAACTGGGAAAATATATAAGGATAGGATGTAAAATGTTTATACAATCATATCTTTGTGCATTAAACAATTATTTCATTCGTGGACTGTATTAAGAATATGATTCCAAGGTAACCCTGAAGATTCTAAGCACTGTTAGTAAATAATTTCCTTAATATCTCTCAGATGCTATAATTTTCTTTATTACCTACCGGTTTTAAGTAATACAATTGTTTAATACACGTTTTGTACAACGTTCGACATATGTACATAATATCTGACTATATTCTCATGACATCACATTCCAGTAAACATAATATTATGATTTTTTGTTTGCTTAAGCATGTATACAGTATAGGCACTTTACATCATAAAATGTCCCGTGATTAGTTTTTCCTTTGGTTTTCACTTTTTATGTCAATGTATCTATTTAAATGCAATAAATGACAATATACTGTGAGCTTTTTTAATGACTTCCGGAAACCAGTGTACAAATTGTTTGTTGTCCTCCTTTAAGAAATGTTTTCTATTAATACAACAGGATACTAATAAAATGAAGTAATTGCGGACAGGGAACATCATATTTAAATTTATTTTAATTTCTTGGTTTTATGATAATCTTCTAGAAGATTGGTAATTAATTAATACTAGTGTTAGGACCTTTTGTGAGTCCTCGCGGGTGGGTAACACCACTCTGCCTATTTCTGCCGTGAATGCGTTTCGGCTTAAAGGGTGGGGCAGCCGCTATAACTATACTTGAGACCTTAGAACTTATATCTCAAGGTGGATGCCGCATTTACGTTGTGGATGTCTATGGACTCCAGTAACCCCTTAACACCAGGTGGGCTGTGAGCTCGTCCACTTATCTATGCAATAAAAAAAAATCGTGTTCTTGTGATGCAGAATGGTACGACATCACTCATGGTCGCTGCGGAGAACGGTCGTACGGACGCGGTCAGCTTACTTCTGGAAGCGGGAGCGGACGCGGGTGCTGCCGACGCTGACGGGTGGACACCTTTGGCTTTCGCAGCGCGCGGCGGGTACTTGCCCATTGTACGAGAGCTATTAGATGCAAAATCACGTGTCGACCCCAGAGACTGTGTAAGCTCAAAATTTGTTCGGACTTATTCTATCTACATCTATGTATTTATCTATATATTTGGTAGGCAGCGGCTTGGCTCTGCCCCTGGCATTGCTGACGTCGATGAGCGACGGTAACCACTCACCATCAGGTGGGCCGTATGCTCCTCGTCTGCCTATATAGCAATAAAAAAAAATATATAAAAATCGATTTACATTCGTATGTTGGTCAGAGACTCCGAAACAGCCGCACCGATTTTGATGATATCTTCATATTGGTCTAGCGGGTGATCCTGTGAAGCTTAGTAACGATCGAATCAAATTTAAATCAAAGATAGCCGCCCAGCAAAGCGAATCGTGTTTGACTTGTAACTTTATAAAACTGAAGCGAAAAACAAAACACGCGTGTTCGAGATTTGAATTGTATTGTAGCGTCTACTTCTATTAATTTGTTTACGTTTTATTTTCACGAATATAACGTAAAAACCCTGAAGAACAAATGTTTAATCTTTGTTTTCAATGTCGTCTAGAGACTTCTGTGTCATAATGTATATAAACTGACACGTATGCATCACACTAATGGCAAGCGTTCAAGATGATTAATTTTTAAAAGAATAACGTGGCTAATAAATACTTCACGTATGATGTGAGAAGAAAAATATGTATTGATAAGATAATTTCAATCATCCAATATTTTTAAGACAATCAAAGCAAACGCATTGTGTATTTTTAACCCAAATACTAATAGAGCAATGACCAAAATGTGCTCTGGCCTGAGTACACAAAATTAGTATATTTATACTTGATATGGATCTCTGCCAAGATGTCACTGACATCCACATTCCGAAATCTGGCTAAAGCGTAACTGCACCTACTCATCCATGTACAATACAACCGTGCCGAGTATCCCCTCCCACGGCTCATTTGAAGCAAAAGAAATGGATTTCATCACTGGTGGCAGGATCTCTTGTGAATCCGCGCAGGTGGGTATCACCTGCCGTGAAGCAGTAATGCGTTTCGGTTTGAAGGGTGGGGCAGCCGTTGTAACTATACTGAGACCTTAGAACTTATATCTCAAGGTGGGTGGCGCATTAACGTCGTAGATGTCTATGGGCTCAAGTAACCACTTAACACCAGGTGGGCTGTGAGCTCTTCCACCCATCTTCACCCAAGCAATAAAGAAAAAAAGCAAGTGAAGTTTAAAAAAAAAAAATTTTTTGCTCGTTACCTGCGTTAAACCTTTGCTTACGCCTTAATTATGCGTCCCGTCAGCTCTCACATGCTGGCAGGAAATAGTAAAGCTGTTTGTTTAACTGGATTATAGTTGACGTCGTGCATCACGCTTGTGCATTTACCTGGAACAGGTTTAAACTTAAAAGTACCTTCAACTTGAACGTAAATAGAACTATCCTGTTTGAAACCTGTTGATGTGTGACTCAGTTCGAGGCAAGTAGGAGGCAGCGGGAGGGCTTTTGTTGTAGTAACGAAAAAAAAAGGAATAATAAGAATCTATCGAGGCTCCCAGGGATAAGATGCTCGATTTATTAGAGTCGACTATGCCAGTGCCCGAATCCCGAGGCGGTTCCCACCTTACAAACCAGAAAGTGTTGTAAGGTAAAGGAAGGCCTCTGTATATTACAAATGAGAGTTTGAACCTCATGTTCCAAAACGGGTGGCGGCTGTCACGTAATGTTGTCTACGCGCTACAATATCCATTCAACCCGAATCAGGCCGTGAACTCCTTTGCCTTTGAAGGACATAAAAAAGTTTTTATATAATCGATCGGTTCAAACACTATTTATATAATTACGATTAAATAACATATTTTTACGAGGTTAATATCCAAACTCTTACTGTCCAAAGAACATTTAACTTAATATTCGAAGTTAAAAAATGAGCTCTTTTATAGCATAGAGTTATGTTTAAATTTTAAAATAGCAATAATAAAAATATAATATCCATAGATTGAATATACAATTCGATTGAGGCTTCGACCTCATCTTCCAAGGTGGAAGGTGAGATTTGTAAATTTATTATCGCCGAGGACTTTTAGAGTTAAATATGTTTATTATTAATACTTTTATTAATCTTATTAGGGCGGCTGGACTCCTCTCATGTGGGCCTCTTACAAAGGTAATGAAGATGTAGTGGCCCTATTACTGGAAAGCGGAGCCGACGTACATGCACATGGAAATTACAACATCAAGTGAGTATTCCTAATGTAAAATGTAATTGAATGTGCAATATCGAAAAGGGCACATGTCGCATATTTTGTCAAATACGTTTTTTCATGTACATGTAGTTTTGAGGCTTACCTACACCCATTTTATAATAATTCCAGTAATTTTCAATTGCTAATTAACACTAAAATATATCTCAAAAGTTAATATTTTAAATTTTACACGGCTTTAGAAAATTTTAAGTTTTTTTTAATTTCCTGAACATTTTACATTTTCAGTGATGTGCCCTTTTCGAAATTGCATATTCAATTGTTTTCAAATAAAGTTGTTGTCAAAGGATTCGCGAGAACTTTTTTACCTATGAATCGGAAGGTATAAAGACGCGACCCTATGAATCGGAAGGTATAAAGACGCGACTCGGCGCCACCTGCAAGTAAATACTTACCTGTCTTCCTCATATAGTGTCCTTACATTAATCAAGTAATATCCGAAGTCTCCTATAGTCTCGGTATTTCCTTTTCTTACTTACATTTTAACTGTAGAAGCTACTTCGCCTTAAGTACTAGCAAAGAGGGTTAGTATATGTTGGATAGGAGACTTAAGTAAAATAAACCCTACTACAACATTTTCAATGAGATAACGTCAAGAAAAATTAAACTTAGAATTCGCTCCTAAAATAGATAATCAATTGGGCAATTTTAAACTTTATTTGTATTTCAACTTGGGATGGGATATCAAAATCAAAACGATCGTTTTATCAATTGGAATCAATTACAACGATTCTAACAACTGTTCATTTCAAGCTCAACGTAAATCATAACGTACGATGTCACACGTTGCTAATCGTTGTAATTAGCGTAATCTATGATTAACTCGGCACTTGTTTTTGGCCTCAAATGTCGTTACACGTAATCTCAATCGAGTTTTGAATATATTTTGTGCTAAATTCTAAAATCTGATAAAGCCTCCACATTCGGAAACGAAGATTTCTATCTACCCACTCATGATGAAGTAAGTCTTTGCCATAAAAAAATGTATGTTAAATGATTTTGTATTAGAAATCGATTGCCAGCACTTGAGAGTGAAAGTTCAAAAAAACCCAAACACTCGGGATGATTGACTTGAATAAAAACGAATTGACCTCGACCTTAGAATGTAATTATTTACATGCATTAATCTTCTAAACTTGCGGGTTCCGTTAAACTTTTTATGAAGACGGAATTATTTCAAGGCGAATCATCAGGTTTTTCAAATGCATAACATTTCCGTCTTGTGTGTTGACTTGATTTCATTGTTAGTACTGCTGAAGAAGATAAGTTTTTCGTAATGTAAATTGTAATTACTGAGAACACTTAGCCATCATAATATTATTTAGGGGCCTTGTGTTTCGGTAGCTTGTTTAAAATGGTTATTACTGGGTAAAATTAAACAAATACATAATGGTTCCCATAAGATCTGCGCGTCCCCTCGTAGCATGGGCAAATCGCAGGACGTTAAGCTAACGCCTTAAAAATATTTTTATATAAATACTTTCGACGATTACACAGAACTTTTTTATTGACAAAATTATGGATTATTCCATAGAAATCATAATAAAGACTAGATTAGATTCATTTAGATGCAATGTTTTATCACCAACAACATGTCAAATGTTAAGATGCATCGAGTCAAATCTTAAATGTCAAATATTAATAAAAGCGATTGGGATTATTAAAATTATACAAGTTTAACACACATAGTAAACACCACAATTATGTTTAAAAACATAACCTGAATATGTGTATGTGGTCCATTGTGGCGTAAAGCCGTAAAAGTATTAATACCTAAACATTTAGGCCATAGGATCTTGAATGAAAGTCTTTCCAACTATTTTGAACAAAATCAGTGTATGCCACTTGGACTTACTTTAGCCACACTTTATTCTTGATGGAATTGAGACTTTGACACTTTGTTTATGATTAGCGACCGCATTTAAATTGCTATGTCTATGGGCTCTGATAAAACCTTTACACGAAGTGCGTTTGAATTAAATATTGTTGGATTTAGACTACTTAAATGAAAGAAATCATTTTTGTTAACAAAATAAAATACATGGTAAACTTGTATCGACGGCCACTTTACAGATTAGAATTAATGATTCATAAATGAGGCTCGTAAAACTATGATGGGTCTGTGTGTGTCCAGCTCGTTGGTGTGGGCGGCGGGGCGACGTCACAGCGGCGTCGTGACGCGCTTGCTGGCGGCGGGCGCGCGCGCTAACTCGTGCGACAAGTACGCGACCTCGGCGCTCACGTGGGCCGCGAGGGCCGGTGACGTCACGGCGTGCGCCGCGCTGCTACGCGCCGGGGCCGACCCCAACACCGCCGGCATGTACTGCTGGACCCCGCTGCTTCAGGCCACGCAAGGTATCCACAGGTCCACCAGCTCTGGTGTGATGTAAACAAACTGTAGCCGATTCGAAAGTAACATAAATAATGATGCAGCTGCTTCACAGGTTGCCGTTCTCTAATATTACCATAGAACTATTGTTGCGATGAGTCACAGTCGTTATTTTCATAATTTATAGCCGCCCGACGACTTGGCGGCCTCACCGCAATCATCATCAGTGACAGTGTCGATAAATTACTAAAGATTTTCAAACGTGAACACCCGATAACGCACTTCTTGTTACGCATTTTAATAATAATGTTTCACAGAAAACTAAAAACATTAACATGTAACAAAAGTGTTATACAAGTATAATATTTCATTAATAGCGATGTTAAAATTTGTTTGTCTAAATAAAATTATGGGAATGGTTAATAATAGCAAAAGGAAAAAGTAAAATAAATAAAAATACGTACTTTTAAAAACAATCTTGTATTTTATTTGAGAACAATATAAAAATAAATGTTAAAATAAATTTAATTACATATTACGCAACCTGATATTGTCTTTAAATTCAACATCAATTTCGTGAAAGATCCCAATTTTTTTTGTATAATAAATATTACCTTAAGAAAAAAAAAAACCTTCTTCGAACCATAAATGTATTCAGGATGTATTTTCATAGGTAATCACTTTGAGATCGTCCAAATGCTCTTGGAACACAAGCCCAACGTAAATGCTTTAGACAAGGATGGCTACACAGCTCTCGCTATAGCCTGCAAGGAAGGCTACTTTGACATCGCCTTAGCTCTCATCAACTCTGGTGCTTATATTAATGTTCAGGTATTTTTTTTATTGTCGCTTGTGTGTAAATATGCTAATACATTGGGCAGAGGTACCACCGTTCTGTTTTTATTTCTTCCGCATATCAGTCATGCGTTTCGATTTCAAGGGTGGCGTAACCGTCATACAGTGCTCGCGATAAATATTGCACATCGATCTTTGTTTAACGCAATCGGCTAACTTCGGCATCGTATAAAATCTGTCTCTGTCGCACACTACCGATATGACGTTTGTCGGTCGTTGTTTAAGTGCGATAGTGTGCTGTCCTAACAGATACCCGACTGTTAGTGTTTCGTGCGACAGAGATAATGTACTCCGAAGCCGAAATAAGCCGAGTGTCTCAATCCAATGGTCGATGTGTAATATCGCTGGGTTCTGTACAATAATACAATTGAGACTTTCGACCTCATGTCTCATGATGGATAAAGGACATTGACATTGGTCTACAACTGAACATTGTGAACTCGTCTACCCACCTGCTGCAGTAATAAAACTGTTTCGTGCATTTAGTTATGTAATACGCTCTTTAGATCTAACTAAATTGACTGCTCTAGTTTGTCAAGAAATACGGGCTGTTTACATTGTTCGTCGTAACGATATAGTTAATCACTTATAATTAAAACCATATCCTTTAATTAAATGTCGAACGATTTTCCACCTAAAATATTTTGCACGATTCCTGAAATTGCACACAAGAAAAAAAAACATGGACTAGGAACCACGCCTATTTCTGCTAAGTTTTTCGTACAGACATTCCCTTGCATTTTAGGATCACTCGAAAGACACGCCGCTGATACATGCTGTTAAAGGAGGTCACAAGAACATAGTGGAGACCCTACTGAAGAAGCACGTCGATGTCGATCTAGCCGGGAAAGAAAAGAAAACCCCCGTCTACACTGCCGTCGAGAAAGGACATGTGCCCGTTCTCAAGCTTTTGCTCGCTTCTAACCCCGATCTGGAGCATTGTACTGCGGTAAGTGCTTACAAACGAATCTCTATACCTTTTCTTTGTCGTGTGATTCTTGTCAGAGCGGTCGTGGTCGCCATTCAGTAGGTATCATTGCTGTGGGCAGATATGCGGCTCACGAGCAATCGCCACTCCTCCCAGAGTGGACCGAACTTCGCACCAATATTCTGCAAGAACTCGGCACTAAGCAGCGTCTTTCGGCGCTCGTGTATGGGCGCATAATATAATTTTTTGGACATGTCTCCCGGCGAGGAAATGACTCCATAGAGCGCTTTGTGATTCAGGGCAAAGTAGAAGGCACCAGACCGCGTGGAAGGTTCCCCATGCGATGGACCGACCAAGTCAAGTCGGCAGTTGGCGGCTGTTTGCACGAGTATACCAGACTCACCACAAACCGGAAGAATTTCTATAGTCGAGTGAAAACTAGAATTAAAAAAAAAACGTGATAACTTTCCCTCCTATCAGCGCGCTAGGTTATGTGCGCTCGATCGCATGTGTGTGTCGCGAGCCTTTACTACGACGCTGCTCTCGCTCTCTCTCTCTTTCTCACTTTCTGTCTCGCTCACTCACTCAGAACGCGGACGTTAAGCCACGCCCGCTTTGCTGTTGCGTGCACTATCAGTTATATTAGAAATACCGAAAAACATTCAGAAATAGATTGTACGATAAAAAGGTTCAACAAAAATATCCGAATCTCCGGTTATTACTTAACCAAGCTTAGGTATTCTTGAAAGATAGATAGATTAGGTGTACTGGTCTAAATTAATACATCAACAAGACGGTTCTAGTATCGTTCGTTCAGAAAAAAAACTGAAACTTATAAAATAGTTTGGATTTCGCCATACACTTCGCTACGAGCAAAAGCAAATTTTTCAACATCACGCCAAACATAGAATAACATGTTTTTTTTTTAAATTTTAAATTTATTTGTTGAAGCAAAGAACTGTCCCTGATCTCTTTGTGCGTCATAAAATCGAATTTTCGCAATCTGATTACAAATTTTTAATACGACTTTTATTCGAATTTATGGAGGGACCGAATATTGAACTTAACGTGGCGTCACACGACAGCAAAACCCAAACACGCTTTCGTATGGAATAGAAAAATATTGTTTTTTTTCCTCTTACGTATCTCATAAATTTGCGAACATAATAGGTTTTTTTTTTTGTTAAAATCTTCGATTCTGTCCATCCGTCTGTTTCGAAAACGTGAATTATAAGATCGTGGTACTCATTAATTTAAATTTACGATTCGCACATGAAATATTGAATGTTTTGATTGCCTAGCCATTTAAAAAAAACAACACATTCACATAAAACGATTAATTTGACATTCATTTTTTGAAATGTCTTCAATTTGGGTTTTTAATGTAATCTTTTTACTAGATGACATTCAAATTTTTATAGTTTTATAGTTAATTGAAACCTATACAAATATGTTTTACAATGTTTCTGACGCGAATCAGTAATGTTTGAAGGGTGGGAAAGCCTTTATACTACACAATTTTTACTGGTAGTAGGACATCTTGTGAGTCCGCACGAGTAGGTACTATCACTCTGCCTATTTCTGCCGTGAAGCAGTAATGAGTTTCGGTTTGAAGGGCGGGGCAGCCGTTGTACTATGAAAAGTGAGAGCCGTACAACTCATGTCTCAAGGTGGGTGGCGGCATTTTCGTTGTAGATGTCTATGGGCTTCGGTAATCACTTAACACCTGGTGGTGATAAATTTTTCAATCAGTGTGAATTAACGACTTCATAACCTTCTTACGGTATTAATTATCAAAAACACAATTTAATTTAAAGTAATGCAAACGCCAAAAACTCAAATTTATAAAGTGAGCAAGTGTGTTATCATCCCCCCTCCCTGCGTCGTATTCCTCAGTGCTGAGGGTCGTGACCTTTACTGAGCACTTTTGTTAGGACTATGTTCCTCCATTCACTCCTGTCCTCCGCGCAGTGGATAGCGACATTGATGCTGGATTCCAAATTGTCTTAATCTGATCGGACCAGCGAATGGGACTACGCCCCCTGGGTCTCTTTTCTTCCACTTTGCCGGCGATGAGAAGTCTTTCGTGTTATCATAGCTTAATACTATAGAGCGGAGACACTCCACTGCTACGGGCCGTGAGGTCCCGGAATGCGGAGATGGTTCAGTTGCTGTTGGAGCGGAAGGCGCGCGTCACCGTGGCCGACAACCGCGGCGACACCGCACTGCACATCGCCATGAGAGCCAGGTCTAAGGTAAACAGAACATGATCCACACTCCAATGAAATATAATCTAAACTAAATCTATACTAATACTAGCTGTACCCGTCCGCTTCGCTGGGCATTTAAAATTAACATTATCATTTCTCACCCCCACAAAGATTCTGATCATTAACACCCCTGCAACTGGTGTAGGCAGTCCAACACTCATATAATATTAGCCTATCCATTAAGTACATGTATTTTCTACATGGATACCAAGTTTCAAGTCAAGAATTAGTATAGATAGATTATAAAGAGGAAAGATTTGTTTATTTGTCTGTATTGAACAGGCTCCGAAACTACTGAACCGATTTGAAAAATTCTTTCACTGTTTGGAAGCTACACTATTCCCGAGTAATATAGGCTATCTTTTTTGTAACAAATTAGGGATCCTTACTGAAACTCCAATAATGTAACCCAAGGTGTAAAAAATTACCTAACAGATTCTTTACATCGCGTGCCCTGCGAAAAATATTGATTACTAGCGACCCGCTCCGGCTCCGCTCGGGTCTTTAACAAAAATTTCAACGATATTTGACGTTGTTTTATTTTTTTAAATAAAAGAACGCTATTGCGGCATAACTATAATAGTCAGACATATGCTGTCGCGACACTTTTTGTAAATTATAGTGTGTTATACAAAGTCGTAGTACATTATTTTATTCTATCATCAATAGTTTTCGCAGGGCACGCGACGTAAAGAATATTGTAGGTAATTTTTTTACACCTTGGGTTACATTATTAGAGTTTTAGTAAGGATCCCTAATTTTTTTCAAAAAAGATTATAGCCTATGTCACCCGGGAGTAGTGTAGCTTCCAAACAGTGAAAGAATTTTTCAAAGCGGTTCAGTAATTTCGGAGCCTATTCAATACAAACAAACAAACAAATCTTTCCTCTTTATAATATTATAATACAGATTAGTATAGATTAAATTAATAAATTACGTAAAAAATTCCGTTTAGTTTTGACACTTCCTATAGTAGCTGCATAATGAACGTATAGTGACGTCACTGTGTAAAATTTAAAAGAATTTCATGTGACGTTGGCAAGAAAAGTCTAGTCCTGTACTTAACTGTTAAATAAACCTGTAAAGAAATATAATATGAAATTTATGTTAATTATTTACAGCAAATCGTCGAAATATTATTAAGGAATCCAAAGCACAGTCAACTTTTGTACAAGCCTAATAAACTAAACGAGACTCCGTACAATATAGACATGAATTACAACAAGACAATATTGGGTCAAATATTCGGTGCTCGAAAACTGAATACGAATGAGGACAACGAGAATATGCTGGGCTACGAGCTGTACAGCGCGGCCCTGGCGGACATGCTCTCGGAGCCCAGTCTGTCTGTCCCCATCACGGTGGGCCTGTACGCGAGGTGGGGCTCGGGAAAATCGTTTTTACTGAAAAAACTTAAAGGTATGTACGAATAACATTTTTTTTTATCATAACCTTTAAGAATCTTTAAGAAGTATTATCCACATAAAATTCATTCTTATTATTATTAGCCATAGCGATCATAGTTGTTTGTTATTTATAATCATAGATTTATCGCCACTTCGATCCGGTGGTAGATTCTGCGAAGCACTGCTCTTGCTAGGGCCAATCTTAGTAAAACCTCCAGTTTGTGCCATGAGAGCTCACCTACACGCTAGGGTAGGTAATGCTGATATAGCCTCTCAAAGCTGTCAGCATAGGTAGGAAAAAAATAAATAGATTCAGCTGTATAATACATACAGTTTTGACTTTAAATTTTTATTCTATGGTTTTATCGTTATAAATATTGGTGGTTTATTTTAATTTCTATACTATGTAACTTGAGACGCTTACGTAATTACGATGCGTTTTCTTTCATGTAATTATTATATTAGAGCGCATTACTGAAAATTGTGACCTCGTTACACATTAGCGAACGAAAATAAATACAGAGTCGGTTTGTTTTAGATGTGTTATCTTGGTTTATTTTAGTTTACTCCACTTTGTTCCGTCAATATTTGTTCACCTTGAAATCCTAATCCCCTATTACTGAAACGAAATGAATCTTACTATAAATCTTACTATGACAATATTACGTTCAATTATTTATTAAAGGTAAATTGCATGACCGATTTTCTTATTTATATACTCGTTAAGTTTTGTGGTGCCATAAATATTATGATATCCTTTGACAACTGTCCAAGTGTCTGTTCAACCGAAATGAAATTGTCTCTATTTTAGTTAAATAATAATTGCTTTCAAGCCAGGAATAGAATAAACAGTAAATACATATAATGTATATTATTAATTCTGTATTTGCTGAACAAATGTTTTGCTTTAGATACGAGGTCGCAATGAAAAGGGCGTAACTAGAAAACACTAGAAGTTAATAAAAATCGTTTATATTAATATGTATTCGTAGAAATTTGATGAAATTAATATAGCAACTTTAAAGGGTAAGGGGGCAGGTCTGACTGACCCCTTCCGTGAAAATGGTGTTCATAACAAGATAGATGAAACGGGACAAAGAAATATGATTTATTTTTCTATAAATAATTGAGAAGTAGTTATTTTTTTATTGTTTACATTGAAGGACATGCCCACGGCTTAAGGCGTTAGGTGGTTACCAAAGCCCATAGATAAGAACATAAATGTCGCTGCTCACGTTGAGCAAGTTCTAATTCTCAGTTTTACAATACAACGACTGCCCAACGGGACCCCACAGACATCCACAACGCAAACGCGCTATCCACCCCGAGACAGAAGTTTCAAAGTTTCAGCATAGCTACAACGGCTGCCCCACCCTTCAAACCGAAACGCATTACTGCTTCACGGCAGGAACAGGCCGGGTGATTGTGTCTATCCCTGCAGGCCCAAGACTACTAATTAAGTTATTAAATGCAAAACATAATATAATTATGATGTATTTGTAACTTAATATAAATTTCATCGCACCTACTACTTTATTCTGCACTACCATTGGTTGACTGGTAGAGAATGCCTTAGGCATTAAGTCCGCCAATGTAAATTTTACATGAAGTGTTATAAATAAATAAATAATTAACATATTTTCACAAATGACTTCCACGATTAACATCGTGTAATAAAATACAAACCGGCAAAAAAAATTATTGAGAATTAGAACTTATAGCTTAGCTTGAGCAGGGAAATTTACGTTGTTGTCTATGGGCTCCAGTAGCCGCTTAGTACCGGGTGGGCTGTGAGCTCGTCCACACATCTAAGCACAAAAAAAATAAAAACGTTTGACGGAATATAAATTGAGTGAATATTGTACAGAGGAGATGAAGAACTTCGCTCGGCAGTGGAGCGAGTCTGGGTGGGCCTGGTCGTGGGCGGTGTGGTGGGGCGCGTGGCACGCGGCGCTGGGCGTGGCCGTGCTGTGCGCCGTGGCGGGCGCGCCGCCGCACCTCGCCGCCGCGCTCTGCTTCGGGCTCTTCGCCGCCATCTACCTCGTGCTCTACCTGCTCTGGTACACAGGCAACCGGTACGTCAGCATTTATATTAATTGATTTTAGATATGTAAAATTTCATTTCAGTGATGAAAATATTAAGGCCCTTACATACTAGTTGACATAATTATTGAATATACAATGTGAATAAATCTTATGAAATGTGAATTGGATAAAAATGTAATAATTATTTGATCATTTTTACATAATTATTAAACTCTCGACTTACATTGGGTGCATTTATGTTGAAGCGGTAGGTTCTGCGTACTTATGGACAAATCTTAAAATGCTTTTATTAACCTGGCCTGTCATTAACCTGGTAATCGAATCTTTTAACATAATTTGAATCAAGACAAGATTAATTTAAATATATGCAATTTTATCAAGGATATCTGGATGATCTGGCTTGATACTACATTACTATTACAGTTAAAATAGAATAAAAAATATTATCATAAACGATTGTATTAATCCCATGATTGCTAAAAAAGTGTATTAGATTAAACCTCAACTTAACTGTCGTTAAACCTCCCACATTAGACGCCTTGATTATTTTGGTTTTTTTTTCTGAATTATAATTTATTTCAAAATGTTCCTTCGATAGATACGAGTGGTGGTGGGCGGGAGGAGTGGTTTCTACTTTGGGTCGGAAATTCAGTTCGTTACTGCTGGTGCTGCAAGTTGTATTCTGTCATCCTCCTGGACCGAACGATCCGCGTGCTTTACCCGCTACTCCGATAAGGTAAGATACACACAAAATTACATGAAACTTTTATAGTTATCGTGAATACTGTTAACACAAAACGTCACTTCTCAAAATTCGAAAGAAACTGTGCTCCTTAGGCCTATCTACGATCCATTAACAGTGCTTTTAGGCACCACAAGCACCGGTCACCGTCCTCGTCGAACCCATCGCTTGCGACAAAGAGTTCGACGAGCGAATTAACCCATAGACACAGCCCACTGAGTTTCTCGCCGGATCTTCTCAGTGGGTCGCGTTTCCGATCCGGTGGTAGATTCTGCGAAGCACTGCTCTTGCTAAGGTCAGTGTTAGCAACACTCCAGTTTGAGCCCCGTGAGCTCACCTACACACGTAAGGGTGAAGCTGAAATTGCCTCTCAAGGCTATCAGCATAGGTAGGACATTAAAAAAAAGGCCTATCTACCTTACCTTACCTACCTGAAGATCCCCATTTAAAGTAACAAATGAACGAAAGAGCGTGTACCGAAATAAAGGATAGAAAAGCAGCTATCCAAAGTGACGATTAGAAAGCAACCTAGTGTTTTATAGAGTGAATACTACACTCGCGAGCAAAAGTTTGGAATCACTTACTTGAAATTAGTTCCGCGCGATCTCGTGTACTATTTTTTTTTTTAATAATCATAAAAATGACATCGTTTTAAAAGTTCAACTCTTAACTTTAAACTGATACTTAATTCATTAAAATCAAGCCAGTATTTAAGAAGCTATCCCAGATTAAGTGAAGCAATAACGAAAAAGACGTGTTTCAATTGCTTGATACGTCGCGAGTTGCGACTTATTGACCCCTATAAAAGCACCTGTTATCGGATTTTCTTTATCAGTTAACTTTCACACGTTGACCGGTACACATCTCGGCTAATTTTGATCCTTTACCTTGTACGACAATGGAGACCACATCTACAGAAGCAGCACAAATCGTTGACCTATTGAAAGAAGGACTCAGCCAGCGAGTTGTCGCTCGTCGGCTCCACATAAGCCAGTCCTGTGTTTCGAAAGCTTACAAGTGCTTTCAGGAGACTAGTGGCTTTATCCCGAGACCAAGATCTGGACGGCGCCGGTGCACATTGGAGAGGGATGACCGTTTTATCGAATCAACCTCTCTCCGAAATCGGCATTTACATGGTGTCGACGTCCAACAGGAGCTCCGAGATATTCGTGGGGTAGCAGCCGGCGAGTGGACACTATGTCGACGACTCAAGCTAGCGAATCTGACTCCAAAAAGGCCTCCCACAGGCTCGAAACTCACGGTAGCTCACCGACAAACACTCCTTCAATTTGCTCGCACCCATCTTGATTGGGAGGTTGAGCAATAGAGGCAAATCTTGTTCTCCGACGAGAGCAGGATGTGTTTGCACGGTAGTGAACGAAGAGGTCGGGTCTACAGGCGGCCTGGGGAGCGATTTGCGCAGTGCTGTTTCGCTGAAACAGTGGCTTATGGGGGCGCCATTGTTTGATGTGGGTCGGCATTTTCTTCGATGGTAAAACCGAACTTGTTTTCGTGCCTGGCGGGGGACGAGGAGGCGGTCTAACTTCGGACTGGTACATTTCTAATATTCTGCTGGAACATGTCCTTACCTATGCTGGATATATCGGTGATTACTTCCTCCTTATGCACGATAACAGTTGTTACACGGGCAGTGTAACAACTGTATAACTCTAAGAAGTCGGTATCGCCACATTGGACTGGCCAGCGCTCAGCTCTGACTTGAATCCCATTGAGCACGTGTGTAATGAACCGAAGAGGAAGGTTCGTTCCAAAACTCCTGCTCCTTCATGTCTGAATGAGCTGAAATCGGCGTTGATTTACGAGTGGGAAGGTATCCCACAAGAATCAATTCTGAAGCTGATCATGTCTATGAAGATTCGTCTTCGAGCATTTATTATGGCGAGGAAAAGAAACACAAAGTACTGATACTTAATTTGAAAGCTAAATAATTTATTTTACTTATTAATTTTTGATGTTTTGTGCATTCATTATTTTTCCATATTTCCTTGTTTTCCTATCTTATTCACTTAATCCGGGATAGCTCCTTAACTACTGGCTCGATTTGAATGAATTTGGTATCATTTTAAAGTTGACAGCTGAACCTTTAAAATGATGTAATTTTTATGATAATTAAAGTTTTATTTAGTAACCAAGATCGCGCGGAACCAATTTCAAGTAAGTGATTCCAAACTTTTGCTCGCGTGTATAGTACGTAATAGGTATTAGTGAGTACGGATCGACATTTTTTGAATAAGTCCGGCCGAACTCCGGCTCGTAACAGCATACACAATACGCTAATATTGAAAAAAGGAAAGGTATTAAATATTAGGAGCTGGATAAATACTATAATTTTAACTAAAAAAACAATTTATTTTAAAATAGACCAAGGCTTAAATATTTTTAAACTGCTTCAAGTACAAAAAAGACGGTGGTTCTCAATTTGGGGTGTGTGTGTTTTTGTAGATTTCATTTCACGGAGGGCATGAGAGGTGGCGGACAGGAGGGAGACGCCATGGTGGTGCAGATGATCGCGAGCCTGGCTGAGGCTCTCGAGTGTCAGTACGGGCGCGTCTGCACGAGACTAGCGCGAGCTTTTAGACCTAAACCGGTATCTTCGACTTCTGGGTGGAAGTGAGTTTTGAAATATACCAAAACCTTGGTTATTTTATTTATAACTCTGTGCCATACGCACATATTATTAAAAAAAGGTAAAACATTTATAGTTTAGCCGGCGCGTGTATCACTATCCGGTTTCAAGCGTAGACCCTCCTTCCAAAGTAATTGAGACTTTGATACCATTTCTCAAGATAATTTATCATTTGAAATCATATTGTGCTTAAGAGCTTCGGTACACGCCACGATGAGCCGTGAAATATACATTGATGTACGTGCGACAAAAACATCCTTATTCCAACTACATGAACATGTGTACACCTAGATGGCGTAAAGTATGCTGCATTCCACACATCATCACGTTCGAGCTGTGCTTCACGTGCATGCTCGTCGGGATCTGCGTACTCGTAATGTACTTGACTGAAAATAGTGAGAATCAACAGTGAGTACCTAGATTTTTTGAAAGAAGTTTTTTTTCCATGCCCTGTATTATGTTAATTGCTTGAGAAGCTATGTTTTTTATCTGCATACACTGAAAAGAGTAAAAGTCAATCGAGCTGCGTCACAAATAATGATTGTCCTAAAATAACAGTTATTTTTTTGTTATTGCTAGATAGGTGGATGAGCTCACGGCCCACCTTATGTTTAGTAGTTAACGGAGCCCATAGACATCTACAACGTAAATGCTGCCACTCATCTTGGGACATGAGTTGTAAATTTTCCCTTTTAACAGTACAACGGCTGCCCCGCCCTTCAAACCGAAACGCATTACTGCTTCACGACAGAAATAGGCAGGGAGGTGGTACCTACCTGAACGGACTCACAAGACGTCCTACCACCAGTAATTACGCAAATTATAATTTTTGCGGGCTTAAATTTTTATTACACGATGTTATATTATTCCTTCACCGTGGAAGTCAATCGTGAACTCACCGTCGAAGTTAACCGTTCTTCATTGCATTGCACTGTTATAAGTGCGTAGTGACCGAACCGCATATGTACACTGCATAACGATCGATGACATGCGTCAGACGGCGCAACATCCAACAGTGGCTGATGATAGGCGCGGCGTGCGTGGCGGGCGCGGGCGTGCTCGCCAACCTGTACACGTGCGGGCGCGTGCTCGCCTCGCTCGCGGTGACGCCGCGCCGCAGCCTGGCGCGGGCGCTGCGACGGGACGCACCCACCGTCGCACTCCGCCCGCACGTGCACGCGCTCACACACATGGTGACCCTTTATTATTTATTACTTCACTATAGCTGCGTGTCAGTGACTTGTTTCTAGGGTAGATTGGTTTATCACTACATAGTATAAAACAACCGCTTTTTCTGTCCCTATGTATGCTTAAATCTACGCAACGGATTTTGATGCGGTTTTTTTTAATAGATAGACTGACCGACTGATTGAAGAGGAAAGTTTATATGTATAATAACATCCATTAAATAGTGGAGAAATCAATAATAAATTACAGTTTCCGAAGCGAAGCGAGAGCGGGTCGCTAGTTAATGATAAATGAAGTACTGAAGCTCATACATACCGATGTGTAATCCACGCTATTAGAAGTGAAGTCTAAGACTCATTTTTATTGGAACAACGAAAGCCAAATACACGATAGAATTTATAATTTTAGACTTTGAATTTATAAATACTACTACAGTAACTTTATTGATTATTTTTTAATACATTCCCTCGTTTTGCTGTTTCATTCATAATTTAAATTGATTCGGCTTCGAAATTTTCATTCAGCATAAATATATTTTTTTCTTTTCCATTGCCCCAAATCGACAACAATAAGGTTTAGAAATTAAATCTTGTTTCATTCTTGATGGTCTGTTCAATTCGACTCTTCATTTATCGATATTGCGACGGAACTACCGTTGAAAATTATTATTCATAAAAATGTTCGGTGATCCTCTCGGTACTTACAAAAAATTCGATATTTCTTTTTGAAGATTCCTAAAAGAAACAAAAATTTGTTTTATTCCACTTTAACAAATAGTAAACATTACTTTAATTAGATTACATCTGAAATGTACGATTAAAAAAACGAAACAGCTTAGAGACGATCTGACTTTTCGTTTTTTTTAAATCGAAAAATGAGTAATGCAAATGTTCGTGTAGGTGTCATGTCTGGATGCGTTCACGGGGCAGCAGACGCGGCTGGTGGTGGTGGTGGACGCCCTGGACAGCTGCGAGCAAGAGAAGGTCCTCACGTTACTGAACGCTGTGCACGCGCTGTGCTCCGACCCCAATAGTCCTTTTATACTCCTACTCGCCATAGACCCGCACATCATCGCTAAGGTACGTGTTCAATTCGAACGACCATCATACGATAAACGGTTTTACTCGTCATGAGATATCTTTACAACCCAGTTATAAGACCAAGTTATTTATTACTGGTGGTAGGACCTCTTGTGAGTCCGCGCGGTTGGGTACCACCACCTTGCCTATTTCTGCCGTGAAGCAGTAATGCGTTTCGGTTTGAAGGGTGGGGCAGCCGTTGTAACTATACTTGAGACCTTAGAACTTATATCTCAAGGTGTGTGGCGCATTTAAGTTGTAGATGTCTATGGGCTCCAGTAACCACTTAACACCAGGTGGGCTGTGCGCTCGACCACCCAACTAAAAAAAAAAAAGAAAGATTATTATTAACGGGCGTGAAAAGTTTCGATAACTCACTCCGAATTAAAACTGATTTGCTTATACGTTAAAAACAAATGAATTAGCTTGTAAAACAATCCGTGGCCTAAAGGGTATCACGCCCGGTATAGTGATACAGCGACACCGCGGTTCAAATCCGGCCGGCGGGTGTCTTTTTTTGTTTAATATTATAAATACGTATTCAAAACAATTTGAACTTCTTCTAAGATAAAGATAGTAAATCGTGCAAAATTATGTAAATTTGCGTACTGGCAACCGGCATTGCTTTTAGCGGGTGCTGCCAATCCATAATGGTAGCTACCAATACTCTGCCTATTTTTACCGCCAAGCTTTAAAGTTGGGATGACTGTCATACAAAACAATGAGACTTCGACCTAATGTGAGATTTATTACATAATATGTAGAGATTTGTTTTACGATGAACTATTTAAGCTGAAATACTAGATTGATCGTGTTTCATGCAGGTTGCTTGGATGGAGGTTAGTTAAGCGTTAAGTGCAGTGTTCGATGTTCCACGTTTAGCTTGGCCGATGTTAGACATCGCCTCTATATATTGTTTTTAAATAATGATTTACGTGAAACTGCATGATTTCATTTCTTGTTATGTGGTCTGAGTGTCTTACGTTTGTGTTGCATGATAGAATAAAATATATATCGATGTAAACGTTAAAGATTGTAAACGATAAGGTATTTTTTTTATCGATGGTGGTAAATTTATATCGATTATTGCAAGTAAAATTTGTATTCAGGCGGTAGAAATGAACAGTCGTCGAACATTCTCTGAGAGTAACATCGGTGGTTGGGATTACTTGCGGAACATGGTGCAGCTGCCGTTCTACCTCCAGAACTCGGCCCTCCGCAGAGTGAAGTTGGCCCAGCAGACGGCCACCAAGCGGATGCAACCGACCGCCGCGGAGGACTTCTCCACCTCTCTCCAGAGATCCGTGAGTGGGGCGTCGGTCTCTTGTGGAAAATCAATAGCAGTGACTATTAAAAATAATAATTTAAAAAAAAACTAACAAAATACTCTTTTATAGAAAATCCAACTAAAAAATAGAAAATAAATTTTAATAAATTTGAATTAAAGTTTTTTAAACTATTATTTATTTTACATTTTTAGTTGAATTTCAATTTTTTCAATTCTTTTTTTTTCAATTTAAATTAAATATTGAATTGTCATCGATCCTTAATAAGTGTACCAAATTTCGAGTTAATCCGACGTTTTGAAGGGGATCAAAATCATGTTTAAAGATTCCGTTACATACATACGTCTGAAGCTAATAAAAGAGTATTAAAAAAATAAACGCATTTGAATAACAATACGGGTGGGTCCACAACATACTTTTGTTCTTTACATTAATTTTCAAATTTAGCCAATTTCACACTTTATCGTCACACAACTTAAATTGCGCGTGTAGGTATCTGTATAAATTTCCCACATTACTTGTATGCAGATACATAAACAAATATGCTTCTCGAATAATAAATACTGTTGTTTCAATCTTTCAAACAATGTATGAAATATTGTTTACGCATTAACAGTCTCTTTGTTATCAGCAATTTATATCTGATGATATTACGTCACACAAGTTCGGCCCACTGTTCTTAAAGCATTTTCTTCAATTTCCACAAGTCTTAGACATGATTAATTTAATATCGCATTTATTATTAGTTGTTTTCGTAGTCACGGACTATTATGATGTCGACATTAATAAAACTATCATATTATTTGAAAAAATTGATAAGCCTACCATTAATAATATTCATGGATATTTGTTCAAAATATATAGGAAACAATGTAGAAATTCACGAAAACTATTGATGTCGTTGGTAATTAAACATCCTCCTAAGGTTAGCTTAATTGTTTGCGTTTTTATTTGTTCACGTATCTGTCGGTACATGTCGACCAGGTGTCGGCCCGGCGCCTGTCGTCCACGTCGGAGCTGATGTCGAGCCAGGAGCGCATCAAGAGCCAGAGCAAGGAGGCGGGGCGCGCGCGGCGCCTGCGCCCCTCCGAGTCGGTGGCGTCGTCCGTGGCGTCCGGCCTGCACCGCGCCGCGCCCGTGGCCGACCTGGGCCGCGTCATGCTCACCGACGACTACTTCAGCGACGTCAACCCGCGCAGCATGACCCGCCTCATGAACGTGCTCTACATCACAGGTCCCTCTTATATAATCGCTATGCCAGACTAGACAACGCTTACGCCAATCCTAACACAAAAAAGTTTTATTCTCAATTATATCGGACTTCTAAATATCTCGTCAAGTACTCTATTACAACTGGTGTTAGTTCTGACAATACTAAATAAACATATTTTCGTGATACTTTTGAACTCTAAATAAAATGAAAAAACAAAAAATAAAACGTTTACGTATTAAAACTATATTTGCGATCTAATTTTTTATAGTCATTATATTATTTCGAAATACTTTACAGTTTTCATGGTCACGAACAACTAAGTTGCTATTCGTCGACATTTTAATAATATGCTAACTACCGTCTTATTTAAAAAAAAAAACTAGTCTTTTTTACATTTAATTTCACACGACGATTTATTCTCCAGGTCGCCTCCTCAAAGCATTCCAAATAGAATTCAACTGGTATCAGTTGGCTTCGTGGGTGAATCTGACGGAACAGTGGCCGTTCCGAACGTCGTGGATCATCTACCACCACGAGACGTACGAAGAGCACATAGACGACACCACCTCCCTAAAGAACATTTACGAGAAGTCAGTATACCTTATGATTGTATAACGTTATTTGTAAGTACAAGCCGCGCCAATAAAGAAACGAATCGAAAATGGCGTCTATGTACCTGCACTGACAGATGGTAGAGTCAACAAATAAAAAGAAAGATATAAAGAAAAAGTTGTTTATTGTAAAAAAAATATAAAAAAACAAATGAGAATGTACTTTATTTTACATTGGTGCCCCTTCAGAAGGGGTCTGTAGTCGTCGTGGCCTAAATGATAAGACGTCTGGTGCATTCGTATGTAGCGATGCACCGGTGCTCGAATCCCAGGCGGGTACCAATTTTTCTAATGAAATACGTACTCAACAAATGTTCGCGATTGACTTCCACGGTGAAGGAATAACATCGTGTAATAAAAATCAAACCCGTGAAATTATAATTTGCGTAATCACTGGTTGTAGGACCTCTTGGGAGTCCGCACGGGTAGGTACTACCACCCCGCCTATTTCCGCCGTGAAGCACTAATGCGTTTCGGTTCGAAGGGTGGGGTAGCCGTTGTAGCTATACTGAGACCTTAGAACTTATATCTCGAGGTGGGTGGCGCGTTTACGTTGTAGATGTCTATGGGCTCCAGTAACCACTTAACACCAGGTGGGCTGTGAGCTCGTCCACCCATCTAAGCAATAAAAAAATAAAAATAAAGGGGGAGGTGTCTCATCTGAGATGCAACTTACGTAGACACTTTTGTTGCCACACGGCCTTACGGATCCATCAGATCCAATAACCTTTGCTTTAGACGCCTTCAGCTCTTAACACTAGGAGCAGGCTTAAGGACACCGGTAACCGTACTCGTCGAACTCGACAAAGAGGTCGACGTGCAACCTAACCTATGCATCAGCCCGCTGATTTTCTCGCCGGATCTTCTCAGCGGGTCGCGATTCCGATCCGGTAGTAGATTCATTCGCGAAGCAATTGCTCTTGAGTTGTTAGGTCTCCTTCGGAGGCGCTTGGGCAGCTGTTAGCAAATCCCACCCCTTCCTGGCTGAGCCTTTGCTCGCTCACCTGTCCTGGTGAAACTGGAAAGGCCTCCGGGCCACCAGTAATCTTTCAAACATAAAAAAAAACTTGCTGCCAGTCATCTAAGTCGCCCAACTCGAACGGCTGGAAATAAAAAAAAACCCACAAAGTTAGAACTGATAATTTTTTTTCCATGCAACACGCGCCGTGTGCGACTAAAGACAGCAATAGCTTAGAGTGAGAGCGCATGATCGCCGCCGCCATTTTAGAATCGTTTCTTGATTGGCGCGGCTTATACTTGTCGGCGTAAATAAATATGAGAATCGCCCTTACACAGAGTCAAACCCCTGATGAACGGGCTCCGCGAAGCCGGCACGCTGATGGAATTGGATCGCGACGAGCGCAAGCTGGAAGTGTTCCTCAGCTTCCATCGGTCCACCCTCACCGCTGCCGATCTGAAGATCTTCCTGCCCTTTACGATCAACTTGGATCCATACATCAAGAAAGTGATTAAAGGTATAGCCATGAATCGATGGTCATAGTAGATTGAGTGGAAATTATTGCAGACAAATAATAGACACGTCAAGTTGGCCTTTCTGAACTGTGTTTTATATTCTAAACCTGCAGACAAAGATGATCAGTGTATGGTGCTGGTGGTAGCGTATGGCGCCCAATACCGGCCGGGTCACTACTGCGGTCCTGTAAATTTCGAACACAAAACAATCAGGCGATACTCTTAGCGCACGTCTTAGTGTGAGCATCACTCACTTTATCAGCTTATAGCCGTACTCGCCCGCTTCGCCGGGCATTTAAAATTAACATTATTATTTATTGTCATTATTATTAGGGAGTCCAACAATCATATAAATATTAGCCTATCCATTAAGTACATGTATTTTCTACATGGATACCAAATTTCAAGTCAATCGGATGCACGGTTCAGTAGTTATAACGGTACATCCGTAAAAACCACTGTATATTAGTATAGACGAAATCCAATCCGAACCACCAAGAAGTTTTTTAGAAGATAAATTCGAAATACAACATGGTCTTTCCACGATTCATACCAAATTAAAAACTCACTTCTATACATTGATGATTTTACAGAGGAGCACGCCCAGACGAACGGGGAAGACGAGATGGGTGCCGGAGCAGCCGCGGGCCCTGCGTGGGGAGCTCCACAACAACCTAAACAACCTACATCGAAACTCTTTAACAGAAAACATGTAAGTTCTATACAATAAATACACAAGATTACCCAATTCAGAGTACTGTCTTCCCTGTATCCAACAACATTTAATTAACGATCATAAAACGGTAGTTAGAAGTCACTGACACTATGATTCCTTTAAAAGTATGAAATTTATTACCTTTGTTGCTTATTGTTATGTATATATTAACTATCTATATATTAATACGTAAAAAAATAAAAAAATGACACACTTTATTGTCTATTATCAAACTTTTGATATTGTTTAAAGTCTGTGGTCAAGTTCAGAATAGATTAATATTATTTGTCTTTAATATTATTTGTCTAAAGTGTAGTTTTGGCGAAATCTGTGATTATAGAATTATATATAAGTCTTTGACAATAGACCCATAATTATGTTCAAACTTATAATTTCAATTAATTTTATAGTCGAATTTTTCGACTACTGCGAGACCACTAGTATTATTAGATATTGATTTCATTTGATCTCATGATCTAAGCGAATTCAGAAAACAATTAAACAAATAAAAAACAAAATCTGACTACAGCGTGCGTCGAGTGCAGTGGCGCCCGCTCCAAGCGGCGCGCCGCCCGCGCTGTGGATGGAGTGGCCGCAGCCGCCCCCCGCGCAGCCGCCGCCCTCCCGCAACCCCTACCATCTGCTGCGCTCGGCCTTCCCCGCTCTGGTATGTACAGTCGCCAGATCTGTACCCGTGTGATGTATCTTCCTAAAGTTAAAATCTTTCTATAATTAAATAATAAAATCGGGTAATAAATCATAACACGGAAAATCTACACAAATTGTGACTCCGCGCGGATAGGTACCACCACCATGTCTATATGATCGTCAACTCCTTTAGTTATCTTGAGCAATAAAAAAAACGTGTATAATTTACACAGTATACACATGGTACAAGTGAAATTTTCTGTTTCGTTCTCTCGCAGGTCAAATCTTATAGATACATAGTACGTCTGTCTCTTTCTAAAATTCCGGTGGTAGATTCTGCGAAGCTCGGCTCTTGCTAGGGTTCGTGTTAGCAACGTCGTCAGGTTTGAGTCCCGTGAGCTCACCTACTAGTTAAGGTTACGCTGAAATAGCCTCTCAAGGTTATCAGCTTAGGTGGGGAAAAAAATCTTTCTAAATGTCATTCTTGCTCTGTAGTACTAAATAACTGGTAGTAATACCACTTTACTGGTGGTAGGACCTCATGTGAGTCCGCACGGGTAGGTACCACCACTCCACCTATTTTTGCTGTGAAGCAGTAATGCGTTTCGGCTTGAAGGGTGGGGCAGCCGTTGTAACTATACTAAGACCTTAGAATTTATATCTAAAGGTGGGTGGCGTTGTAAATGTCTATAGACTCCAGTAACCACTTAACACCAGGTGGCTCGTTCACCCAACTAAGCAAAAAAAAAAAGTTTTCTCTCTAAAAAAACATGGTATATGTGGAGATATTGATGTGGAAGGGTCCGTTGCACAGAATGACATCTCGAACCTGCGCCTGTCGACCCTGAGCGTGGAGCGCGTGTGCAGCGTGGTGCGCGAGGGGCTGGGCGAGGGCGGGCTGCTGGCGGCGGCGGCGCTGCTGGAGAACCGCGTCTGCGGACTGGCGCTCTCCGTCTGCAAACTCGAAGACCTGCAACCGGTAAATATACCCACATATCGACGCTTGAAAGGCAAACGTGACTAAGCGACAATAATTGCTTTGTACATAAATGATAGGCAATAACCATATTCGATGCGCAAAAAATATAATAATATATTTCTATGTCTATTAAAATCATTTTAATCCTACAGCTAGATTCGTTTAAAATAGAATTTTTCTTAGGTATTTCAACTTTAAATTAATTTACTGTAAAGTTCACGCATTGTCGCTTGCCTTTCAAGCGTCGATATCATCTTTCGAATCACCGCAGAAAACAACATTAAAATAATAAATTACATTTTTGAATGCTATTGTAATGATTGTTGCAATTGTAGTGCTAATATTTATAAATTAATACGTGAAGCAAAAACTTTGTATCCCTTTTTACGAAAATTGCGCGGACGGAGGAGTATGAAATTTTCCACACTTATAGAGAATATAGAGAAGAAGTGCACAATGCTAATATTTTTTTTAAATAATGCATAAAAGATACATTAAATCAATAAAGAAAACATTACACACACACTACCATGTATTTGACACACACACATATTTTTATACTCTTTGTTTAGTGTCAAATTTTTGTTATTGCTTAAAGTCTGTTGTCAAATTGAAAATAGGTTAGTATTGTTTATCTTTAATATTACGAGTATTTGTCTATAGTGTAGTCTTGGCGAAATCTGTAACAATAGGATCATAATAATGTTGAAACTTATAATTTCAATTAATTATAGTCGAATTTCGACTACTGCGGGACCACTAGTATTTATAAATGTGTGTGTGATAAATATTTATATGCTGTCTGCATATATTGGAGACTCGCAACAGTTTGCTTAGTGCGAGTTTCTTAACGTTCTCGATCACGTAAAAGTTAACTCAATTTTGTATGCAGTAGGCAAACGTTCCAACTTCATACAAATTTCGAGCTATCCAGAACGTTAAAAAACTCGCACTAAGCACACTGAAGTTTAACCGACTCGATCCAAGGCTCTTATTAACAAGAACACTTTGTAAATAAAGTCAGCAATGTTATGTTTTGCAATGTTATTCCGTGAGCACGTCCTTTATAGAACCTTGAGGAATCATGTTGGCTTAAGAACGGCTTGCGTGTCTTCTGGCTTCCATGACCGACAGTAGCAACAGTCCGCCAGATGGCGTTGTTCTCTCTTCATTATCTATACTGTACTCTCAATATCGTTTCAGGTATTGAAACTACCTTTCGGTGACTGGGAACTTTTTAAATTGCTGATTACGAATTTGCGTGAACTGGAAGCTAATATGCCCACAAACATGCCAGCCGTAACCGGTATGTACTGAATAGATATAAATACGGCATATTATTTTAAATTTATTATGTTTACGAAATGTGATATGAATTTACGATATGTTTGCAGTAAACTCGGAGAAAACATCGGAGATCGAGCCGGATTCTAGCAAACCTCGAATGGCGGTGGAACACCAGCGAAGCCGACCCTCTAATGTTGAGAAACAGGTATCATATAAATACTTCATTACATATATATATATATAATAATATTATATTACCGAAGTTTAACACTATCTCATACTATTATTATTAATATTATTGTTATACGTAATACGTAATAATGTCAGAAATTATTACAATGATAATCAAGACCATCCCTTATAGTGAGGATTTCCGAAATTTAACTTTTAAAAAAGTTGTCATCTTGAATTACTTGCAAATGCTGACTGCACTTTTTCTTTTATTCACACCACTTAAATAATGAATATATAACTTTTACTTTTAATAGTAAAAATATTTTGATTCGATAAAACAAAAAAAATTAATACAAATTAAGTTGCCATGGAATATTATAAAGAATATCAATCAGCTTTAATGAATATTAAACGCAAATTTTTAATCTAAATGTGTGATACATTGGACTCAAAAATTTATAAGAAGCTATATTTTACAGCCATACGCGGAATATCAGGTGAATATATTAAACATAGTTACAAAAACCGGGTGTTAAAAATATTTGACACAGAACATTTATTTGGCACAGAACTATTTCTCGAAGAAATCACAGTTCACAGTAGAGAGAAAAAATATCGTTTTTTTTTTTTTTTTTTATATTTTATATGATTGCGTTTTTTTTTTTTTGACTAGCATTTTTTTTTGCGTTGCAATCGTGTGTTTCTGATGCCTGGGATAGTCGTTACTTTTAAACATTAGACTGACGATGATTATCACACTATGACAGTCATTAGGGCCTGGTTAATTGTAAAACCTAGTGAGCTGTATGTTATGTCGACTCCCCATCTAGAGTAATAAAAAAGTAAATAATTGTAAATAGACATGTTTTAACATAAACCGACATCAAATAGAAAAAAAGAGATTCCAAAACAAATTAATATACACTAAAAAAACAATAATCATCGAAATCGGTTGGCGTGATATTGAGTTATTCATCTATTTGTCGCGCACGTACTTAATGCAAACTTAAGACTTATATAGTTTTCTCATGGACACCATTATCAGAACTGGACTAAATTGAAATTGGACCACACGGGAAGCGTCAGCTTTCTAATAAAAAAAGAATCATCCAAATCGATTCACCCAGTCAAAAGTTATGAGTTATGAGTAACAAAGATAAAAAAATAATAACATACACTCGAATTGAGAACCTCCTCCTTTTTTTTAAAACGGGTTAAAAATAGAGACCCATGGCTGTGTCGCGACTTATGAGCTCGACAGTACATCTACATCCAACGACGTAAACGCAATCACCACGAACGTATACATTGATATATATATGTACCAGGTGACACTGGAGGAGCAGATGATCTGCGGCGCCCTGCAGACGCTGAGCGAGGAGGTGGTGGAGGAGGTGGCGCAGTCCGAGAGCGGCGCCGACCCAGGTGAGCCCTCCCCCCCTCTCCGCACCCGCCGCGCCGCCCGCGACCCCGCCGCCGCCCCGCACGACCACCACGTCATCGACATCACCGACGACGTCTACCTGTAGCGCACTCCGCGGCCGCGCCGGCACTCACTTACTGCTTCTCGAACACGAGATATACTTATCGTGAAGAGTTCATGCAAAATCGAACACCCTGTGAACAGCTGAATGCGTTATCATACGAAGGGCTGTCGCATGAGAAATTGATTCATGGTCGTATCAGAGTATTCTTGTGTAAATCAAACTTTAACTGAAAATAAAATTGTCGGAATCTTCGTTTTGCGAAGACGCCGCGCCAGAGAACACGTGGCGGCAGACTCATCATAAACACATTTCAGTTGCGTAATGTACAAAGAAACATTTTGGAGACATATCATTAAAATAAAGCTTCACTCTATTGCTGTTGTTTGTAGAACTTTTGTTACGAGAGTAAGCTTAATCGAAACTTATCATATCAGTCGTGTCTGAAGGCAAATCGCAAGATTGGTGCTCACCTATGTAAAATTATCAATCGAATTTGATACTTTTTTGAATGCGCGTAGATTACAATCTTGTAATCACGAAATTCCGCCTGATACAATTACGACTTATATTGTCCGTATTTTATACGATCAGTATTCTGTTCGGAAAACTTTGTTATAATTTAATAATGTAAGATTATGAAATTTGTTAAGTACTTAATGAAGCGTACGAAAGTTGAGTCTTCCTTTTATTAAACTAGAATTGTTTAAAGAAATTATATGTTTACCCGTTGTAAGACCCTTATGTCGAAAACTATTATTAGGTAATTGAAAAGTTTAGTAACATTCCAATATATTTTCTTTGGCTGTGTACTATACTGTTAATTGTAATGACAATAAGTATGCTAGTTCCCAAAATAATTAAAATGTATGTTCCTTATTTTAACATAGAATTAGTTGGTCCGTGTGCCATCAAAGAAAAATGAAGTTGGCAGTGATAATTCGTAAAAGACTTAATTGTACTTACATCTCATATAAATTAGATTAGGAGAAGATTTGAGTCTTAGTTTAAGTTTATATTGACGGTTAACCCAATATCAGTATGTAGTAGATTATAACTATAAAAATCAGTAAAATTATAACCAAGTACCGTTTAAGAAATGACCACAAACGCTTCAATTATTAATGATTAATTTCTCAAAACTGTCATGTTCTAGTAGCATCCGATCTACTTTGAATTAAAATATACAAATCCATATTGTGAAAATGAACAGACCTGTTTTTCAATTATAATTCATCATCACTAGTTGCTAAAATTTCAAATATTCATAAGATAACAAACGATCTCATTGATCAAGTATCGCTAAAGGTGTCCTAATTTATTTTATTAATAAATTATTGAAATTTCACAAAGATGTTTTATTTATTTACATTCAAAGTCATTCACGCTTCACATTGACAGAAAGATTATTCATCGCTATGACAGTCGGTGGCACCATGCGCTTTTCTTTTTTTTATTGCCCATGTAGGCAGACGAGCATACGGCTCACCTAATGGTGAGTGGTTACCGTCGCCTATGGACTTCAGCAATGCCAGGGGCAGAGCCAAGCCGCTGCCTACCGTTAAGCATTGACTGCATCATTGTCATTCTTAGTGCGATTGTAGTGCGGGACGCGGAGACATCCTCTCGTCAACTCGTCCGCTAATGAACTGGTTCTCCGGCTCGGTACATCGGCGCGTTTGTTGCAGACGACGATTCGACGCGGACTCACGACCGGCGCGACCCCTCCATACTGAAGGGCGGCAGCGTGCGGCGCCGCGACCCGCCCGCCGTCACCTTCAACTTCGAGAACGAAGAGGAGTCGGACGACGACGGACAGATCACGTTCAGCGCACGCCCGCGGCCCTCCGCCCTCTACCGGCCGCGTCCCGCCCCGCGCCCCTCCTCGCCTCGCTCCCGCCCCTCGTCCCTACTCGTCGCGAACGAAGACAGCGTGGATAGCGCCCGTCTCGCCGCGCGATCTCGCTCCGTCGAGGACTCTTCTCGGGCACCTTCACTCGATCAACCACTGGATCTCAAACTTCGTAGCTTGCGCAAAACCGCTGAGATCCTGCGAAAGGTCAGTTCTGCCGAGAGACTCACGAGACTTCGCGATAAAATAATATCGAGAAACGGATCCCGAGACCGCAGTCCGCCGCGCGAATACGCGACCAGCGACGACGAGTCTGCACCGCTCGTGTCATCGGACGACGCTCGAGCCGTGCCCTCGGGCGGCGCCCAGCTGTCTCCGCGCTCCGACCTCACAGAACTCGAGTCTCCGCGCTCCAGGGACGCGGCCTTTGATCTGCTGCCGGAGCACAAGGCTAGCGAGAACCGTACGACGCGCCCCGACCTTGAACGCTCCGGCAGTTGGGCGTCCGTCTCCAACATGGTGGAGCCGTACAACATGCGGCTACTGTCGCACGGCACAGCGGACGGTTGCCGGTCGCTTTGGCGGCAGGACGCCCTCGACTCGGACCCGCCTTGGCCGTGGGATGATGAACCGGATTCCGTGGTTTGATGGCATTGCGGAGTTGCGTTTATCCAGTTTTAGCCTGCGGCTACGTTTGAGCGACATATACTTCTGCGGCTTCAAAGGCCGAATCGTCACAATATATTACGAATGTATTTCGTACTTTATTTTATTCAGCTTTGAAATATTATCAAGCATGTACTTAGTGTTAGTACTTACAAAATAAAAAAGCGTCATGCTGACGTGAATTTATAATGCATTTCATGTTCACCAACGATTGTGATATTATGAAAACGTTAAATAAAACTTTTTGGTTGGAAACGTAGTTTATCGAATTTAATCCAATTTCTCCTTTATTTCTTTTTTACTGTTTTACTATTCTTGTTTCTATAAAACAATGGTAGGTAATGGTTTTATTAAATCGACTAAATATGCTTAGTACTGATAACGGCAGAGCCAAGATAAAACCCATCAGATTTGAGATAGTTAACGACTCCTCAGAGCATTCTAACTACTGATTCCGTTCATTTCTTACACCTTGTTTGAAGGTTTGAAGGTTCACAGTCGTCGGGCCACATTGTTGACTATTGCCTTGTGCTTTTTGAAAGTAGGTCTACATGGCATTATTGATACTCAGAAATAAAAAACTTGTAATGCATAATAATATGAAACTACACTAAATTAAAGTAACGATGGGATTAATTCATAAATGATCAAAGTATTCGTTCTAGAATAGTGCAGTTTATCCTTAAATCTACTATTGAAACGACTTGTCATTTTTGTTTAAGTTGAACTAACTGTATACATAATATGTTTGTCAGAAATACGGTAGGATTTTTTTATTGCTTAGATGGGTGGACGAGCTCACAGCCCACCTGGTGTTAAGTGGTTACTGGAGCCCATAGACATCTACAACGTAAATGCGCCGCCCACCTTGAGATATAAGTTCTAAAATCTCAGTATAGTTACAACGGCTGCCCCACCCTTCAAACCGAAACGCATTACTGCTTCACGTGGTGGTAGCCACTCGTGCACAATGGGTCCTACCACCAGTATCAAAGTAATTTTATGAGATGATCTATGACTACATGATGCCACGATCTTTTGATAGAGCTTCACTATTGAAACCATCTTCTGACTCCATTAATTACATCAACTGTTTCAACAATTTCATCAATTTAGCGATGATGGCATGTTTACCTCCGAAATGCTCTTCGGCATACAGTGGAAGAGATTAAAAAACATTCTGGCAGCTTCGGGGCATAACGCAACACACCCGAATACTCATTTAGGCAATCTGAAAGCTTACCAATGTATACACTTTACTGCTTCATGACATAATGCAGTAAGGAGAGTTTCTTTTGAATAATGCAAAGTGCAAAATATCGGAAGGCGACTCAAATTTGGGAATAGGAAAAAGAAAGAAAATAAAATCTAAATTTTAAATTAAACAACAGTAATATTTTCTACTATTTTTATTGTATATCCACAACTACATCCAAACTTTGCAGTGTATGCATGAAAATTGGCAAGTACCAACGCAAGGTACATTAAGTATTTGCTCTCTCATCTATAACAAATACGTATAAATAGAGTACAAACATTAGAGAGCAAGTTTCCACATTTTTCATTATTTTGTTATAATCCTAAGGAATAAATTTTAATACTCAGTCTGAACAGGCAGACGCACTTGGTGACATGTCATATCGGCCAAGACGTGCAATACGATACTTTTAGCTTCAGTGATTTTGCAATCTGCACCGATGCTTCATTGCCGTACGACCATGGATAGCTAGGCAATTTGGCGACTTTCTGCATTCGATTTTTGTATCAAAACTCTTAAGATATTTTTATATCGAACTGAGACGTAGGGGAAGATAAAGGAAGAACAGGAGGAGTGACAGCACGCTCTTGCATACTGTTCATTTGTATTCAAATCGTTTGTGGATGTTGTTGCATCGAAATTCCGAAAAATAACCGATTGAATAATTGATTGAATAACCGATACGAAAATATAATTTGTGCCGGATTTTAAAGTCCGGTTTTAAAGATTTTTAAGATGATTACTTTTTAATAGCACATTAATATTTCAATAAATTAGCAGTTTTGTGTTATGAAGAATTATCCAATTTAATATTTTCATTACATTATTTTAAGACGCATTAATCAATACTAAACAACAGCATCAAATTAAGTCGTCAAATCAAGTAGAAATTTATATTTCAAAGATGGGTTTTTGTTAACAACAGTGTATGCAATTAGAGCATTTTGTCATCTCTCCCGATGTCACGAAATATAAAATGCATCTTTTCCGTTTTTTAAAAACTACTCTTGGCTTCAGAATTCAAGTGTTTATCGACAAATCTCCTTTGAGTATATCCAGTTATTGTTCCTATTATTCGAATAATTTTATGTAAAGTCGTATCGTTGAAATTTGCACCTTCCCTCTTAAGGAAAAAAAAAAACTATTACTTCAGTGTTCTTGAGCACGAGAAATATTGCACCCGTTCCCGAAGCCCCAACGGAATAAAGTACTACTACTACTCTAATCTTACTAGAAAACAATATCAGGTTACTAATCCAAGTTGGTTTTGACATTATGTATTGCGGACATGCAACTTGACTCAAACATAACTGGGGGTCAATGAACGCGGTTCCAAGTACTGTGTGCTTAGTGTGAGTTTTTTAACGTTCGCGATAGCGTAAAAGTTAACCCAAATTTGTATGGAGTTGGAAGGTTTGCCTACGTTTGCCGCTAGGGGCGCTGGTCGAACGGCATACACAATTGAGTTAACTTTTGAACGTTTAAAATCTCGCACTAAGCACAAAGTGTAGTTGCATGGCGCGACTGGGACAGGGTTTAAATCACGTTCGAACCATAGCTCTTTCGATTGGTAAAAATTATGGTAAAATATTATTAACACCAAACATGGAAGATGCAGTATGAATGAATTGTCACGAAAACATTAAACGGCCGCATTGTGAATATTTATTAGGTTATGTGGACAATAATAAATCTATTTAACAGCTTACATAAAATAAATAAAAATTAGCACATCCACTATTATTGTTTCGATTGCATAAAATAAATAAAATTAATAACACACAATTAATACAGCCTTATTGGAGATCGGGAGACTAAATTACGAAACACGTTTAATAAAAGTTACACAAAATCAGATTTAACCACATTCCGATCTCACGCTCAATAACATTTATAACTTATAATATAATATTTTTTTTTGTGCAATAACAAGTGCATAATTAAGTATCACGATTACACATTAATTAATCTCACGAAAACGACTACACTGCTGCGAAATTAAATTATTTGCAGAACGACAGCGTAACTACGCGACAGTACCACACGAAGTAAAGAGTGATGATCGAACCACAAGCGTGTGTTTCACGAATATTTCAAGAGGGACGATAACGATCTTAAAATACGCTTGAAAGTTGAAGTTTACCTTTACCTGCAAGAGTATATTTATTATAACATTTTTGGCAACCTTCAGATCGATTACTTTTTGGTTGATATTATGTATTGCTGCTGTTTCATTTTTTGTGCAGACGATGATTCGTATCAGATTTTTTATAAAATTTTAATGAGGTGGCCCCTCCGTGACGCCGTACGACTCGGTCGCGATCTTCAAACGAATGAATCAAACCACAGTGATGTCAGTAGCGTCTGTGGGGTCGTCGGGCGGGTCGGGAGTGAGCGAGGTCGGCGGTGAGGGGGGCGGGGGCGGTGGCGGCGGGGGGGCAGTGAGCGCACTCCACCAGCCCGAGAGGGCGCCGCGCGCCTGCGAGAGCGCGCCGCCCACCGCGCGGGACGTGCTCGCCACCGCGGCCGTCACCTTCCTGCCGCCTTCCGTCGTCGACATCGTACTGAAACATACGTAATCATTTTCAAAACACTTTTAATATCTTCACCTGTATCTATTTATCTGTGTAGCGGTATCTTGCAACGTAATCTTCGCCAACCACAGTGCGTCCGTAAAAATACGTATATATACATACATTTTGCCTGCCTACGGCTAGTAGCCTCAAGGGGTTATGTTAGCTTTGGAGAATGTGTAAGTTAGCTCACGAGATCAGCCTGGAAGACTTTGTTAATATCTGCTCTAGCAAAAGTAGTGCGTCGTTGAATACTATACCCGATCCTGTAGACCGAATGGTAAACAGTCGACGTCGCCCAAAGCACGTCATCAAGGCTCGACGAGCGAATTAACCCATAGACACAGCCCACTGAGTTTCTTGCCGGATCTTCTCAGTGAGTCGCGTTTCCGATCCGGTGGTAGATTCTGCGAAGCACTGTTCTTGCTAGGGTCAGTGTTAGCAACTCTCCGGTTTGAGCCCCGTGAGCTCACCTACACACGTTAGGGCGAAGCTGAAATAGCCTCTCAAGGCTATCAGCATAGGTAGGAAAAAAAAGTTGAATCTACTACCAGATCGTAATCACGACCCACTGAGAAGAACCGGCGAGAAACTCAGTGGGCTCGATTTGCGTATTCTTTAGTTTAAAACTATTAATTTACAATTAACAAAAACGGTTTTGTTACAGTTTTCCGATCAACGATAGTTATTTACTGTGTGCTTCGTACGAGTTTTTTAACGTTCTCGATAGCGTGGAGTTCGAAAGTTTGCCACTAGGGGCGCTGTACCAACTGCGTACAAATTTGAGTTAACTATTACGCTATCGAGAAAGTTAAAAAACTCGCACTAAGCACACTGATTAATTCAGATTCTATTTCTCCGTGACATTTTAAATATATTATTAGGAGAACTACAGCCTTGTATTGAAAAAAAAGTTACGTCTACGTTGTATGATATCGTCGGTACGCCAATGTGCCAGCCAATGCCTACCACGAGTCAATCAGGTTGTTATTTAAAAAGTAGGTTATCTAATGCAGTTCTGACATCCACTTCACGTGTAGTCAGTCGGTAGGGGGTATTTGTTTTGTGGCATCTATGGACACCAGAAGCTGGTTAATATATAGTTCTCAGTAAGTTTGTCCGTCCGTTTACGACAATATTAAAAAAATATTTACATCTAGCCAAATAAAAGCCTTGATAATTATTGTTGGATATTTATATAAAAATTAGCTATTTTTTACTCATACACAAGCTAGTGATGTATATGGCTGATCAACATAAATAATATTGAATTGCGTTTAAATGTATCGCTTGTATCTCAGAACTTTATCGGCACATTTCAAATCATTTCATCAACATATGTATTACTTACACACGACACTAAGTCAATCCAATGAAAATAAAATAATACTCACTGTGCCAACTTCAACTTCATATCAGCTACAGAGAGTTGGCCAGAAAATGGATGCATAGGAATAAGGTTCATGAAAGCTTCGACATCACCATTATTAGTATTCTTCAACCACTTTTCGTAGCCCGGTGTAGACTTAAAAGCAGCCATATATTGAGCATTGAACATGTCTATCTCTCTACTACCTTCTGTAATTGTTAACAATTTTTTAATTAAAAACAATTCCATGGCGCTCCAACTGGGGTATAACATCCACTCCCATCTGATAAATGAAACCCGCAAAATTATAATTTGCGTAATTACTGGTGGTAGGACCTCTTGTGAGTCCACACAGGTGGATACCACCACCCTATCTATTTCTGTCATGAAGCAGTAATGCGTTTCAGTTTGAAGAGTGGGGCAGCCGTTGTAACTAAACTTGAGACCTTAGAACTTATATCTCAAGGTGGGTGGCGCATTTACGTTGTGGATGTCCATGGGCTCCAGTAACCACTTAACACCAGGTGGGCTGTGAGCTCGTCCACCCATCTAAGAAAAAGAAAAATAAATATTACTTGGGCCCTGCACAGTCCTGCAAAATGTTATTATTTGTATTTAATTTTATTTTGTGCTTAACAAATATTAACAGACATGTAATTTGTGTGAAGTAGGTGCTGATTTTTAATCCCCCCTTTCCCTTTTGGTGTAGTGCAGGATTTAAAGCTACATACGTCTGCAGACTTGCAACGTGTTATAAGAATAATAATATTATATTTTAATTATTGGTTGTAGGACGCATTGTGAGCCTTTATAGCCCCGAAACAAGGTACCATTTAGCTTGTTTGAATTAAAGAGTAGCTTGTAGGTCTCGGTTTTTATTTAATTTATAAAAAGAAGTCAATTACCTGGCAAAATAGATGTCCTTAACATATATATCAAGTAACTTGCAAATTGATCTCTAATCCATGCATCGCCCTGAGTTGCGCCATGACGAACAACGTGATCAGCAAATCTGAGATCCTCAGTTCCAAGAGCCAACTGCCTTCTGAGCAACATATCTGCCGTTTCTATTCTCATTTCATTTAACTCTACAAGTACATCAAAAAGCTGCCTCTTCTGCTTAAATAATACATTAGATGCACCGACAACGAAACCATGAACAGCAGGATCTGATAAAATGTCTAAGTACTGCAATGATAAGTACGGTAAACATAGATAGCCATCTTCAAACAGTGGAAATGGAAATCCACATTCTTCTTGATCAATTTGACCAGTTAAACTGTGTAATCCATCAACGCTCATGTCTCTAGCCATAGTGGGACTTTGCTGTGCATCTATCACAGGTTTTTGAACCTTGTATTTTTCACCAATACTATGGCACTTATCTCTGGTAGAAAATTCTTGTCTATCGGTCACATCTGTTAAGATAGCCTCATCAAAACTTTGTCTACTGACCCTGTCTTTTTCATCCAAAATATTTCCAGATTCTTTAGGTGTTAATTCCTCTACTTGACTTGAACCATTTAACAGTGATTCAGGAAAAATTTCACAGCTATCATCAATGGCATCTTCTATTTTATTATCTATTAAAATAGGTATTGGAGATAAAGGTCGTGATAATCTAAAATTATGATATGTAATTAGTAATTATATATGTCATTGTGTTTAATATGCATGAACCAATTCATTTAACATCCTGTTGTAGCAAAAACAATTTAAATCTGAGAAATTTTCTCTTTCCACAAACACAATATACACAGACCCACTCATCAACATCACCATGCATCCACATACTCATACAGCTGCACACATTGCAGATACACCCAAAACGCAATTGAGTATTGGTGATTGATACTATGCAGTTACTGTGCACAATTTATATTACTTGCGGTATATGTACATAAAGAAAAAGAAGAAAGTTGAAAACATGACTATTAAAAGTGCATCAAGGAATCAAATTAAATTAATAAAACTTCTGATACTTACACTACATTTGCAGCTTTTGAAAGGCCACTCTCTATACATTTTGGAAGCAATGACACAAGTGTAAGTAATACAGTTGACAATGGGCCAGCTGGTGATCCATAAATTAGAACCTTACGTTTTATTAACAGAAGTTTAAATAACAACAATGCTTTGTGCCTCCAGTTTTCAACCAATCGCTGTACTGATAAACCTGTAAAACAAATAAACAAAATAAAAAAAACAATAAAACAACAGTTTTATACATTTTGGTAGATAATTTGAAATTGTATTTGGTTTGCAGGTGTATTCTGAGCGCTATCACATCTTTCTTCAAACGTGGCTTGTGGAGAGTACTTAACGGTAGACAGCGGCTTGGCTCTGTCCCTGGCATTGCTGAAGTCTATGGGCGACGGTAACCACCCACCATCTGATATACTCATCAATATGTGGCAATTGGAAATTGTGGGTAATAATAAATGAATGTCAATTTCAAATTTGAAAGAAATCGAACTGTCCCCACATCACTGTGGACTATAAATGAAATGATGGTGAAAACACAAACCCATTCAAAAGGTATGATTGAGTTTATTAGAAAACTTACCTTCGAGAATTTGATCTGTTTGAATAGGACAACTATTTAAATGTTTGTATGCATCTTCAAGGAGTGTTGTCTGTGAAAAGTCACCTTGTAGAAACCATGCCCTCACTACCAGCTCCATCTTCACCGCAAGCCGACCGAATAATGGAGCTCGACATATTACACAAACACTCTTTTGTACTGAACTTCTAGTCATATCCTCTGTCTTTTGAGTCACTTGCTGTAAAAAAAAAACCATAATTAGTTAAATAAACCCAAGTTTTTTTTTTTGTTAAAAGTTTCCTTTTCTACTACATAGATTTAGGGGGATCATAATTCCCAAAAAAAAAAATACGAAGTAGAATTAGTACTCCAGCAGTATGCAGCAGCTTGCTGTGCACTTGGCATTACCAACATCAGCTATGAACAACTGTGTTCAATCACCATTAGGTGGGTATTATGCTCTTTTATATCTTTGAAGGCACTAAAAAACGATTTATATTATATTTATAAAAAAATAGTAATTCAGTAAATAAATTTGAAAAGAAATATATATATGTAGAGTTGGTAAAGATAAAGACCACCAAAACACTTTCTGAGCCTCATCTGTTCTTAGCGATTAACTTAACTAAAAGGAAACAAATAGCTAACTACATTGCTACTGGTATGAGATGTAACAGAAGTGNTGAAGGCACTAAAAAACGATTTATATTATATTTATAAAAAAATAGTAATTCAGTAAATAAATTTGAAAAGAAATATATATATGTAGAGTTGGTAAAGATAAAGACCACCAAAACACTTTCTGAGCCTCATCTGTTCTTAGCGATTAACTTAACTAAAAGGAAACAAATAGCTAACTACATTGCTACTGGTATGAGATGTAACAGAAGTGATGATCAACATGATATTTATAAAAATATATGTTACTGTTATTATTCATTATTATAAATAAATTTGAACTTTTTTTATAAAATGAATAAACAATCTCATGGTCCACCTGGCATTAAGTGGTACTGAAGCCCATAAACATCAACAGTGTGAAACAGTGAAAAATTAGTACCTGCTTGTGATTAAAAAACCTGCACAGTATCATCACTCTTTAGGACATAATGACTTCGAAATTTAGTAATAAAAGAAATAGCAAAACTTTAAGGGGGATAAATGTTGTCAATAAAAACAGTCCATTTATGGGGTCTAACACTAAAACCTCAAAGCTGGAGCAGTTTTGTTTGATATTTGACTTTAGTATTTAGATATATAAGTAATCTAACAATCACACCATTAAATCTAAGTCACACACTTTTGATTTTCTTCAAAAATTTGCAGCTTACAGAATAAAAAAATCCTTAGCCAGTTGTAATATGAATTACATTTATTATAAGTAATTAATTACTATAACATATTCTAAAATAACACAAAAAATTAAGGGTAAAATTGTGTTCTTAAATTGCTTTATTGATAGTTTTTTAGTTGTTCTATAAGGTAGAGGAATTCATTGCTTTTACCCTATCCGAGTTTATATCTGCATAAAATGATTATTTCACACTATACTTTACAAAATATTTAAGCATTTGTTTGATGTATTTATATAAACTAACCTCAATAGGGATTTGTCTAAAACATGAAATTCCATATACAGTGTGAGCAGGTTCTGTGAGTCCAGGTAAATTAAAAAATATTGTGTCCGAATGGTAATTGTGAGAGCCATCAGGCAAAGCTAGAGCAGGCAAATGTCGCCAACTTGCTGGTAGCTCATTCGGATGACCAGGTATAACCTCAGGATAACAATGTTCCACCTGAACAAAAGAAAGACAAGTTTAGAATAGAATATAATAAAGTTTCTAAATAATGAAACAGAATCTAAAATGTTGTACCTGATTCATCTAAAAACAATACATATTTCAATGACGTGTCGTCACGGTGACTGCGATACGTATGATTTTAATTATTAAAGATAATTTTATTTCGGACAGTGTAATGACTATCTCATTAAACATGTTGTAATAGGATATGTCTTTTTTAATTTAAAGGGCTTAATGTATTGATTTGATGAACTGCTTACCTGACATCCCTTCTTGTGATGAAAGCCTACAACAATTATATTAAGCACAGGTTCGCCCACTGCAGACATTATTGAGACCTTGCTTGTTTCAAAAACCTGTTAACTATACATTATTCTCAAATCATTCCACTATAATACACATGTTATGTTACATTTGAAAGCTTGGCAATGTAAATAATATTCCTTTCAGACCGAAATACACCCACTTTGCCCTTATCACAGATTAAACAATAATTTATAAAATACAGATAGTCCTAAACAGTCGACAATGAAATAAACATTTTTTTTAAATAAATGGCAACCTGGCCTTTTTAATTAAAATAAAACAGGGGTTTTTGTGGACCTTATGAATAGCCCTAAGTAGCCATATACAGCCGTTTTTTCTCCTATCCTCATACTTATATTTCCCTTTGAAGTCATCATGCCTTATGATATGAGGTTGAATTCTTAACTGTAGTGTTGTGACATATTTATTTTAATTATATTTTTTGTATTTAAAGTTTGTAATTTTTACATAAAGATAGAAATCAAAGTGCAAAACTATTTTTCAATCCGCATCATGCCTGTCCGCTTAGGACAAACGTCATTCAAAATATTTTGAATATTTGAAAGGCGCAAACAAATCTGACTTCGGTCACAGAACTGCTTTGCGGAAAAAAAATTGTTACACTCTAACCTACACAAGCTTACAGAACGCCCTATTTACCAATAATTAGGTACCTAAATTATCAATACTTGCGGCTAAAAAAACCTTCAATAAAAAAAACACCTTATGGTTTACGTAAAGAAAATTTAGGAATGGTGTACGGTATTATTAAAATTTATGCTTGAATGATCGAATTGGTAATTCCTACAAATCCTCAATTTCTGACAATTTCATTCCAATCTTGGGGACATATCAACATAACCACGTCCATAACTCGATGTTTAGCTAAGCAACGCTGTCATTACCTACGCAAGTTATATTTAGCGTGAATTAAGAACTATTAAAAAATTATTATGTTCATTTTACATAGTTTAGTAAAGTTTAGTTTTTGTGGGTTTACAGCAGGGAGTTAATAAGGACACTAACTCTATGGTTTACAGTCTCTCTATCACAGACTATAATTTGGGTAGACGCTATTCTCTGCCTATCCCGTAAGTGTAGACGCTGTCACTGGCTGATACTACACCTACAACCACTAGGAGCCTTCGTGAACGGACTTTTAACGAAATATTCCATAATGCTTATCATAACGTTCCATAATATAATTTATATTATGAACTAATTTATCGAAACATAATTTATTTCATTTGAAATAAATGCTTGCTTCTATGTTCGTCCTCCGTGCGTACCTCAATCCTTTAACCGTTATCCGATTGTGATGAAATTTGGTACATATAATGTAGGTCCTCTAGTGAAGGTTTCTGTATCAGGCCATCGGTAGGTAGGCTTTTTAATTTAACATAATTAAAACTACTTTTACTATTATATCTCTTTTATTATTTTCAGTTTGTAATAATATGCCCTGGTTTTTGCAACACTAGGTTTTCAAACGTACTCCCACCCCTTAAAAACCTTAAAAACGTAGTTATAGCTAACGTGGCTAATTTAATTACTTGCTGGCGGATCGTGTTACATATAGAAAAATTATACAATAAAACTTGAAAGTAAGATAATGCCACTTTATACTGATCCGCCTCACTTTACCATATTATTATCACTTTAGCCAGCCATATTTATATTAATAAACTTGAAATGTCACACAGTCGTTGAAAATCAGAACCTAGTTAATAATCATTTTAATAAAAATTAATGTTATGCAGCTGAGCAGAATTAAGCACCATATTATGATACCTGGCTGGGTACGACTTGAACTTGGTTACGACTTCCTGTGATATTTATGAGGTAGATAAGAGTTCATGGGTACCAGTGACTGATAGCTACAGGAGCAACAAACAAACAAAATTCACACCCCTCACACAAATAGGTGTTTAAATCAGTTTTTTTTGTCAAGGGGACAGACATAAAGATCATACCCTATTAAGGCAAACATTTTGTAACAAAAATAAAAAATTAATGAGACAACAAATCGACCGTAATCGTGACTGATAAAAGAAAATTGATATGGATATGGATTAAAATTAAATTCATTACGGCACAGAATTTATCTTAAGAAATGAAAATAAACAAGAAAAGATGAGACAACAGCATACTGTTATGTGCTGCATGAAATGCAAAACTTTTTCCTAAAAGGATAGAAATTTATAAGATATTAGTGGACCTTTTGGGAAGCCTCATCCAGCAACTGTTTAATTTTCTCATATCTCTCATAAACGTTTTTTTGTAGATTTGTCTGATTTGTACTGCCAAAGGAAATGGGGCTTAAACAGCAACATTTCCTATTTGAAACCTAAGTGATATAAATTTAAATCTCATAAGTCACCTTCATCTCAAAAATTACTAATTTTTTTTTGCCAAATTGATGACCTTTGAGCGAAAACGGAAATGAAGTGATATAATTGGAATGAAAGGAAACTTTTTTTGAATAAAAATTGTGGAAATATAGACTTTAATGGATTTTAAAAGCCCTGTCAAGCAATTTTCATTCTTTTTCATTCTCCACATTTTTCTACTTACCGAAACCAAAGGCTAATAAATCATCATTACCTATCGTACATATTTTAAGTGAGCAAGCATTGAATAAACAAAATAATTCCCTAGTATTACGTCTGATCTTCGTACTACTGCCAAAAGTTTTGAGCAATAGATCACGTTATTACAGTCAGTTGAATTAGTTGAATAGCAGTACAGTGACTGTATTGTCAATTACACTATAATCTGTGGTTGTAATTTCGGCGAAAAAGTAAAATTTCACAAACTTTTTTCTACTTTCAGTGTTTATATTTTGTTCACATTCAATTTTTCTTTATTTTGGTCTGTTGTGATATTTGGTGAATAGTAGTTTTTGTAGTAGAGGCCTACAATTTTGTAGTTTAAAGAAAATTCGTGGGAAATAGGAAAACACTGACAATTTAAATATATTTCGTCGCCATTTTCGTACTCTGCTGATGAAAAACTAAAAAAAATTGTGATACATTCAAGTGAAGTGATATGTGATTTTATCTTAAAATTTGACCACAAATGGGACTGTTCTTAAGGAAAAATTTCATCCATATTTTGACTGTACCATGACAAGTTTCTTCAATTTGATGTCCGAGGTTAGAAATTATAAAACTCAACTTATTATCTTACTTATTTTAACATTAGACCTACCAAAATATTTACTCTGTGATCGTTGAAACAAAGATCTAAGTCGAATAAAAATTCTGTAAAGTAGTTGAATTTTCTGTTAACCAATTCACTGCATACAGAAATGAAGATATTGATATTGTTCCAAAAACATTTATATTATGTCTCATTTCGAAAATTTGTGTCAAAGTATATTTATAATAACTAACCCATAGGAAAAAGTATTTTTATTTAGTAATGCCAATTTTGTGCCTAGATTATGGTGTAGCTTTCTTCACAATTAACACTGTGAGATAAAAATGATTATACTTATGGAGCTAAACTCTAAATCACTATTGCCATCAGAAACAAGAAAGCTCTCGTATACTTAATAGAATTCGTTTTTGTTATTGCACACCTGGTGTGGTGTACAATGGCTGTCCCACTCTTTGATGATATGTACATTTGTTTCTCAAAATAAATAGGCACAATGGTGGTTGATACCTATTTGTGCAGACTTGTCATCTGTGCTGGCTTACAGTGTGTGAGAGTTTACCATTAGTAATAAAATTACTACTCTATTATTGTAACCAAAAATAGTTTTAAAGGATTATTATGTATAAAATAATGTGTGATAAAGAAGAATTGAAGTTAAAGTTAGTAATTTTTAATGGGGGATATTGCAAACAAAGTTAATCTGGTTGGATATGTATTTAAGATAAACCTGTTTACTTGACTGACATTGAGAAGAAATACCCCATCCCTAACTGTAAAGTAAGCATTGTATTATAATTTTCAGCTCTTGTAATTGTAATTTAAAATTCAGTAATTCAATAATAAATTGCAGTAATGTGCACTCTCTACTAAACACTGTGCTTATGACTTTCTTGTTTCCAAAAAGTTTTTGTTGTTGGAAATTATGTGATATTTTTATTAAAAAAATGTTTGTTCACCTACTTTGCTTTGAGAAATCCTTACAGGTATGCAATGACAGGCAGTGTTTTTGGAATTACTGTGACCGCTCACCATCAGATCAGAATCTCATGTTTGTGTGTTATCAACAAAAAAAAGAAAAATTACATAGCATCATTAGGTTCAACAATCATATTTTCTGTAGAACTTCATTCTCTTTTTAGAAATTTAATTCACTGGGGCTTAGTAGTTAGTAGTGATTTTTAATTAGTGCAGTTTGCAGTCTCTTCATGGATAAGTGAATATGTTGTTGGCTTTCCTTTGAACACAACTTTAATACATATAAATTTTTTTTCTTGACTATATGAGTAGAATTGTAGAATCATGTATGAATGTAAAACAAATTTGTTCCTAGGTTAACTTTTGAAATAAGTTAAACTATAGGGTATTAGTGCAACTTTGATGCTTTTTGTGAATGTTTTATTCTAGTTTCGCTCTTTAAGCCAGGGTTCCTATTTTTGCTTTTTGTGTAGATGGTGAGAAGATTTACTTGGTATCAAGTGATTACCATCGTCAACGAATGCCTCAAAATCAATGTGCAGGCCTTGAAATACAATATGGAAATCTAAATTGTATTAGAAGAATGATAGGTGCCTTTTGAAAACACATGATGACATGATTGCTTGGCTTCCAACACATGTAGCATGTTCATGCTGACTTGTGTGGGTTCATACATGCAAAGCAACTAGTCAACTTGATATAATAAAAGTTTCTTCTTCGATTTAATTGAATGCTTTCATTATAAACAGCTTAATAATAAAATAACGTAAAACAATCTTAATGACACAAAAAAAAATTCACTGCTATTTATTTAGCACACCATGTAAAACATACCTGCTTAAACTATTGTTACTACCTACCTGCCTATGAACATCATGCTGTTTGCACTACTGAACTGATGATATATTAACCCAGCACAAGACGGAATGAATAAAGGAATTCCAAAGAAACAGTTTAATTGTTTGATAATAGCATCATTATGTTGTAAAATAAATGTATATGCATAATATGTNCTATTTATTTAGCACACCATGTAAAACATACCT